CCAGCAGACACACCCATCACTGGTCAAGTATCACAGGCCTATTGTACAGATGACTATCAGAGGCCTACATATATACTTATGGGCATAGAGCTCCTTACACTCTTTGTTGGAAAGAAACAAGCATAAAAGCAAGAGTAGTCACTCTTAGAGAGTAGTAACTTAGAGAATACCTATGATATATATATACAGGATTCTCACACTCTTCCTAAAGTAGTATAAAGGGCCTATAGAATAGGCTAAGAATATTTAGTCTATTCTCTTTATTCCACAGTAGTCGTCAAACTATTATCCTCATCCTACTGTAGTCTACACACTATAGCCCTACAGCAATACATCAGGCTCCTATACTATGCATACAGTCAAGACTGCCATTCTACTCTTCCTCATCAAGCAACCTAGGAAAGAACCTCCTACTCCTGGGGTTATCAAATGAGCAGTTCATAACACTAGAATAGACTCTTCTGCCCCTACCTTGCTTGAACTCTAGCTTGCTGCCACACCCTCTCTCACAACCTTACTTAGTAGGGATATAGACCCTTATTAAGAAAGCATTATTGCATATACCCTGGAGCAAGACCTAGGCCAAGACTACCCTCCTAGTGCTACATGCATAAATAACCAGTTCTATCATAACAATCGCCCTATCCAACAAAAAGGGAACCTTTGGTTCTATATAGATACCAACACAAATATTCCCCCAAACTACAATAACTGCTCACATAGGAATGGGCACTACTATTTTTCCTACCCAGATAGAACAAAGGAAGAGTTTCTTTGGAGCAAAACAGGAAACTATTGGGCCCCATTACCATGGTACAGAGACCTGGCACCAGTAATCCCTAACAAATTAGAGCAAGAGGAATCCACCTCTTATTCAGACTCCAACACATCACCAAAACAAACACTAATCAATACCTAAAACCAACCACTTGCTGACATGTCAGGACAAGCATCAGCTTCCACAAACACCCCTTCCATGACAGTACAATCTAGAAGAGGAAAAGTCAAACTCTTAGACAATTACATGGGCGACTGTATTAAATCCCAGAAATTCATGCTCTAATGTCTCCTTCTTTTCACAGCAGAATCAGACTGGTACAAGACCAATCAGGATAAAATCTCCCTTGTGCTTTCATACATGAGATATGGCATGGCAGAAGCATGGGCAGAGAACTTTCTCCTTAAAATAGTAGGAGCAGACCCCCTTATAGATTTGGGCACTTAGGTGAACTTCTTGACAAAGTTTAAGTTACAATTCAGGGAGACTGGCAAAACCAACAATGCACAAAGCACACTCATGACCTTCTTCCAAGGAAAAATAATAGTTGACAAGTACTCTAATGAATTCATCCTAATTACCACCAATGCTAACATCTCCAAAAAGGAGCAGGTTCCCTACTTTCAATATGGCCTAGACCTATATGTCATGGACAAAATCTATGACAAGGAAGCTTAGCCAGAAGACAACATCTGGGTTTGGATCAATATAGCATGCAAAATAAATGGATGGCTTAGAGTGAGGAGTGCTCAAAAAGCTATCCTCGTAAACTCCACCTCCTTTTGAAGTAATTTTCTGAACTGTTTTTACCCCCAATCAGCTTTCCACTATAATTCCACAAATGCCCCGTACAGAATGAACAACTAGGTCATTGATATGGACATCAATGCCATGCAAAAGCAGAATGCTAAAAGTCAAAAACAAAAGCATGATGGCAAGCCACCTGGCCCTTGTTATTATTGCAAAAAGCCAGGACATTAGAATGCTGACTGCCTGTCATGCCATAAAGGCCTTCAATTGACTTGAGGAAGCCAGAAAAGATTTATGGAAAAAATAGGGAGAAGAAACTGTGTGGTTGATATTGAAGATAAAGATAAAGCAAAACCCACTTTGGGAAACCAAGCAGGAGTACATTGAGGAATGAAGGCAAGGGATGCTCATTGCAATAACCTGTGGGTATCACAACCTGGTTGTTTGATGGAATGTCCATACCCTTCCTCATCCCAATTACCCTCATTGAACTATCAGTGGCACATTATATCACCTAACAGATGACAAGAGAATGGAAGCATAAGTCATACTGCTCAAGTCAGAGCAGTTCTCAGAGAATTAGAAGAAGAAGAGTAGAGAAATATTGTAATGGGATTTGTAGAGCATTTTGCCTGACCTCTCCCTCACCAGCAAAGGTGAGAGGTCAAGCAAGGCCCAAGTTTGAAATAGCAAAGTGTATTGATATTGGAGAAATGAACAGTCACATTATCATTCCTATTTGCTTGAACATACAAGTTTTGAACTGGACATATTAGGCTAGAGCAAAGGCAACCATCAACTTGGCATATGAGGGGATTATAGTAAACAAAGTATGGGTCAAGAAACACAGATTCCCCACATACTCACTCAATCACCCTATTCACATCCATAATATCAATTACACTATCAACAAAGCAGGTCTCATCTAATCTATATTGGATGTAAACCTCAAAATTTAGGACATCAATGGACAAATACATACCAAATATGTTCAAATATTCATTTTCAATCTGGGGAAAGACAACATTATCCTAGGAATAGATTGGCTAAAATACCATGACCCCTCTATTGAGTAGAGGTGATATATAATGCACTTTGATTGGTGCCCCCAAAATTACCACCAACCATATGGATTTACCAAGGCAAGAGAAAAACCACTGCATAATAGTTAGTTATGATCCAATAAAGAACCACATTACAAACTGCAAGCAAGCATAAGGAATAGTGCAATGAACACCTTCAAAAAAATTAGAGGACATAGGTCTCTATGACCACAGTAGAATATTTGGTATCTGACTAATAGCCTATCTCAGAAGGAAATGGTGTTTAAAGGACATAAAGAAATATGCAGAGGAGAAGAAATAACATGCTCAAACAAACCTCGAGCCATCTCCATTACCAAACACATGGGAGCCCCCTCTCCCAACCAATTCCTTAAGCATAGTTGCTACAGAGAAACCCATCATCTAGAGATTAGCCCTGGAACTATCAGGTTTTGCCAGTTTTAACCAAGACTTGGAAGAAAAAATCATTGTTACCAACCTGAAAAAAAGGGTCTCCAAGGCACACCATGAATACCTTGACATTTTTAGTGAACAAAAATCACAACAACTCCCAGTGCACACCTTTTAGAACCACACCATTGATCTTAAACCTACAATCAAACCTCAAACATCTAAGATATACACCTTAAGTCCTAAGAAACATGATGAACTAAAAAATTTTATCAAGGAGCACCTTGCAAGAGGAACCATTCACAGGTCTATGTCACCTAGTGCCACCCCATTTTTCTTTATAGGCAAAAAGGATGGAAAACTACACCTAGTATAAGATTATTACCATCTTAATACATATACTATCCTAAATGTCTGCCTTCTTCCATTAATCCAAGAACTATTAGATGTAATTAAAGGGGCCATAATATTTAGCAAATTGGATATGCAATAGGGATATAACAATATACATATCAAGAAAGGAGATAAGTAAAAGGCTGCCTTTGTAACTCTTTTGGGGTTGTACAAACCAACAGTAATGTTTTTTGGCCTTATTAACTCCCTTGCAACCTTCTAAGCCATAATAAACATGATCTTCCAAGAACTTATCATAGCCCACAAAATAACTATATATATGGATGACATCCTCATTTTTTCCAAATTGATGGAAGAACATATTCTTATTCTAAATCAAGTTTTCTGAATCCTATATGACAATGATTTTTATCTGAAACCTGAAAAGTGTGAGTTCTACAAGGAAAAATTGAACTATCTAGAGTATATAATCTCTAAGGACCATATTGCCATGGAAAACTCCAAAATTGACACTATAAAAGATTGGCCTATCTCATGTATAGTCTATGACATCCACTCTTTCTTAGGTCTAGGGAACTTTTATAGATGATTCATTGACAAGTTTTCACTTATTGCTCAACCCTTACATAACCTTACCAAGAAAGATGAAAAATAAAACTGGACCAACAAATGCCAAAGAGCCTTTGAACATCTAAAAAAAAGCCTTCATCAGTCAACTGGTCCTAAATTATCTAGATCAAATGCACCCTTACAGACTGGTGATAGATGCATCACTGATTACCTATGGAGTCATGCTCTTACAAGAAGGCAAGGACAATGACTGGCACCCAGTGGCATACCTTTCTAGCTTATTCTCCCTAGCAGAATAAAACTATAACATTCACGACCACAAATTACTCGCCATCATCAAAGCTTTGAAACATTAGAACTATTACCTCAAGGGAGCCCAATACCCTTTTGAGATCTAAACAGATCATAAAAACCTGGAGCATTTCCAAATAGCCCATGATCCATTATGAAAGTATGCCTATTAAAGCCTTTATTTGAGCAGATTTGACTTTACACTCAGCTACAAAGCTGGGTCAACCAACTACTCAGATGCTCTGTCCAGGCATCCAGATCTAAGTGAGGGGGTAGAATCTAACAACAAGGCTTAAATTTTACTTCCAGCTAAACTTTTCAATGATTCAAACAAGACATTGGTAGAACCAGACCCAACCATGCATATAAAATCTACAGAAATCACCTCTTCAGACCTTATCTCCCTTATCCAACAGTTGTGTTCAGAGCATGATGCATTGACAGACATGGCTCTTACCAAGTTACTACAAGATGGCCTCCAAGCAATGAAAAGAGACCTAGGAAAATAAACACACTCAGAGGGAATTACTAGGCAAAATGGATACATATGCATCCCAAAAGACAACTCCATCTGGGGAACCATCATCAAGACATACTATGACACACCAGCCATAGAGCACCCTAGTAGAGCAAAAACTCTAAAAATGGTATAGCAACACTACTAGTGGCAAAACATGACCAAGTTTGTCCATAACTATATGAATGGATGTGCCATATGCTAATCTATAAAGAACCTGACACATCAGACATGACCACCTATTCACCCCTTAGAAACGACCAATGCACTATGATGTTTTATTTTTATGGACTTTATCACAGACCTGCCTGAGAGCAAAGGTTTTGACTCAATCAATATGGTAGTCAATCAAGGATTATTAAAAGGCATAATTACTACCTTGTGCAAGAAAAATATTACAGTAGAAAAAATGACCACCCTCTTCCAAAATAATGTTTTCAATAGGCATGGGCTACCAACCAAAACAGTGTCAGACCATAGCCCCCAATTTACGGCAAAGTTTATATGAGAACTGTGGAAACAACTAGGCATCTGTTATGATCACAACTTATTGGGCCTACATGGTGGTCTATTCCAATATGATCATCACAACTACTAAGTGGCCTCATATTGTGAGGCATACACAAAGATACAGATATAACCTTTGGTCATCCACTCCTAATGGATTACCCATAGTTGGTCAAGTATCACAGGCCTATTGCAGTGGGCAATCTTCCCTGCCTTACAAACTACTCACACACGGGCACAGACACCCTTTGACCTCTTGTTCAGAAAGAGGCAATTGGAAAAGCAAAAATAGTCATTTCAGCGAAAGGAACAACTTAGAAAACACCTATGAGATACATATACGGTGATATGCTAGAGGTGGCTCTAAGTGCCAAGCACAACACCAAAACAACCTCTAATGCAGGGGTGCTGGAGCTAGTATCTGATACACAAGGAATCATTAGTGAGGACTTTAGAAATTGATGGCACACTGAGAAGTAGCGAGGAGTGTGAAATTATAGCGCCCGAATGGTTTCAGGACTGCACTGAACACTAACTAAATGTATGGTTGGTTGTGTCAGCGATTTGGTTGGTAATGAGAAGGTAGTGTCACAACCGACAACTACGTGCTTTAAGAGCCACACGGGACTCTGACAATATACGAGGGAGGACAAGGGGTATGGGCAAAGAGATGAGTATAAATGCAAACAAAGCTGAACGATAAAGATGACAAGTTTTTGGGAGTTGATGAAGACAATTTCAATGGTTGGGATGAGTGCAAATGAGCTCTGAACTGTGGGGTGCGAAAGCTGGTTTACTCCAGAGTTGTATGTAGGGTTTTATAGTAAACAGCGCCCCTAAGTAAAATATTGAACACGAAATGAGAGTAGATGTCAAATGGGCACCAAGGCCCAGCGATCAGAGAAGATAAGAAGGTAGGTAAGATGTCCATATGGGTTCCAAAGGTGATAAGGTAAAAAGTAATCAGTGATGTCGAAATCCTGAACGTTCGGGATCCATTGCCCAAGTGTAGGTAGCAGGAACAGATATTGGTGAGCCATTGACAATAAAGAAGAAGTAACGTATGACCAGGGTGGACAAGTAATAGTGCAAGATCGCATTTGACTGACCATGTGGAAGTTGGGAAGATAAGCGATAAGGACCGGCCGACTCACGGAGGACATCGGCCAACACAGATTACTAGCTCCGATCTTGTAAACACCTATTATAATACTCTTGTGTGGTCAGAATAAGTACGTGAAGTGTAGGCAAACTGACCCAAGTGCTGCCGAACATTCTTTGGAAGGTTGCGGTTAGTTGGGTGGGGACCGACCATGTTCGGTGCAAGTCGGCATCTTTGGTACTCATCTATGCTATTTGGTATCTCCCCAAAGCTTCCCAAATACCTCCCTTGGACCCTAGCATGGGTGAATGCTCATCAACGGTATTCTCATGCCCTTCCCAAAGTAGTATATAAGGCCCATAGAATAGGCTAAGGATCTTTAGTCCATTCTCTTTGTTCTTAGGCAGTCTTCACACTGTCTACTTTACCCTCTGTGCCATCATGCATAGCAACTGCAATACTATCTGGCTCCTGTGCTATACGTACAGTCAAGACCATTGTTCCACCCTTTCTTTATGAGTGACCTAGGGAAGAACCTCCTACTCTTAGGGTTACTGAACAAGCAGTTCATAATACTAGAATAGACTCTTTTACCCCTACCTTGCTCACACTAGCTTGCTGCCACACACTCTCTCATAACCTTGCTTAGTAGGGACGATAGACCCCCATTAAGAAAGTGTTACTGCGTATACCCTGGAGCAAGATCTAGGCCAAGAATACCCACTCAGCACTAGGCACATAAACAATCAACTCCATCATAACAATCGCCCTATCCGGCATGAGGGAATCCATTGGCTTTACAAAGATACCAATACAATCACCCCACTGAATTACAATAACTGCTCATACCGAAACAGGCATTATTATTTCATATTTGACAATAGAACAGAAGAAGAAAACCTTTGGAATGAAACAGAGAACTGTTGGGATCTTGCACCGTAATATAGAGACCCGGTGCCAATAATCCCCAATAACTCAGAGCAAGAGGAACTAGCCTTTTATTTAGAATCCAACTCATTACTAGACCAAACACCAATCAATACCCAAAACCAACCACTTACCAACATATCGGGACAAGCTTCGACTTTTACTAATGCCCCTCTGGCAACAGTACAACCTGGAAGAGGAAGAGTCAAACTCCCAGACAATTACACAAGTAATCACATTGAATCCCAGAAATTTATGCTCCAATGCCTTTTTCTTTTCATAGCAGAATCTGACTGGTACAATACTGATTAGGACAAAATATCCCTTGTGCTCTCATGCATGAGATATGGCATAGCAGGAGCTTGGGCAGAGAATTTTCTCCTTAAATCGGTAGGAGCAGATTCTCCCACTGGCCTAGGCACCTGGATGAATTTTTTTAGCAAAGTTCAAATTACAATTCAGGGAGATGGGCAAGACTAACAAAGCACAAAGCGCACTCATGGCCTTCTCCCAAGAAAAGATGATGGTTGATGAATACTCCAACCAATTCATCCTCATTGCTGCTGATGCCGACATCTCTAATAAAGAGCAAGTCCCCTACTTCTAATGCAGGCTAGACCCACATGTTATGGACAAGATCTATGACAAGAAAGTCCAACCTAAGAACATCATCCAAGACTAGATTAATATGGCCTGTGAAATAGATGGATGGCTCAGAGCCAGAGCTGCTCAAAAGGCCATCCTTGCCAACTCCACCCTCTTTTGAAGCGACTTTCTGAATGGTTTCCATACTTAACCCGCCTTTTGCTATCACTCCATGAACACCCCTTGCAGAATAAACAACCAAGTTGTTAACATGGATATTAATGCCACAAGAAAGCAAAACGTGGAAAGCCAAAAAAGAAAATTTGATGACAAGCAACCCACATGTTTCAACTGTGGAAGATGAGGACACTACAGTGCTGACTTTTGATTACCATGCAAAGATGTTCCACCAATTCGAGGAAACTTGAAGGGACACATGGGTAAAGCAGGGAGAAGAAACTATATGGTTGATATTGAAGGAGAAGATGGCGCACCCACTCTGGGAAACCAAGTGGGAGTATATCGAGGAATGGAGACAAAGGATGCTCATTGCAATGACCAGTGGGTACTACAACCTAGTCCTTTGATGGAACATCTGCACCCTACCTCACCTGGACAACCCTCAACAAACTATCAGTGATGCATTGTATTGCCTAACAAATGATGAGAGGATGGAACCATCAGTCATACTGCTTGAGTTGGAGTAGTACTCAGAGAACCAAGGATGGATGAGCAAAGTGAAATAGTTTTAGGATTTGCAGAGCATTTTTCTTGACCTCTCCCTCACCAGTGAAGGAGAGAGGTCAAGTGAGGCTCGAGTTTGACACCGCCAAGTGTATTTATATTGGAGCAATAAATAATTGAATTGTCACTCCCATCTGCTTAAATGTGACAATATCAAACCAGAACCATTACACTAAAGCAAAAGCAACCATTAACTTGGCATGTGAAGGAGTTATAGTAAATAAAACATGGGTCATAAATACTGGTTCCCCATATACTCACTCAACCACCCAATTCGCATACACAATGTTAATAACATAATTAACAAGGTAGGTCTTATCTGGTCAGCACTGGATATAAACCTTAAAATTCAGGATATCCATGGATGAATGCATACCGAACATGTTTAGATGTTTATTTTCAATCTGGGGAAAGATGACCTTATCCTAGGAACAGATTGGCTGAAATACCACAATCCCTTTATCAAGTGGAGGTGATGTGAAGTACACTTTGATCAGTGCCCCTAAAAATGCCAACAACCACATGGGGTCATTAGGGCAAGGGAAGAGCCACCAAACAGTGGTTAGCTAATACATGGGGAACCATGGCACAAACTACAGATTAACAAGCACGAAAAGTAGCATCTTGAATACCTCTAAAGGATATTGGAGGACATTGGACTCCATGACCATAGTGGGACATTTGGTGTCTGCCTACAAGCCTATCTCAAAAGAAAATGGCTCCTGCAGGACATAAGAAAATATGCCAAAGAGAAACAACAGGCTCAGACAAGCCTCAAATCATCTTTTCCACCAAATGGGGGAGAACCTGATTTCCCAGATAAAACTTCAGGAACAGTAGCCACAGTAAAACCAGTTATTTGAAAACTGGCTCCGGAACTGTCAGGATTTGCCAGCTTCAACTAAGACTTGGAAGACAAAATCATCATCACCAACTTGAAGGAAAGGGTCCCCAAGGCACACCACAACTACTTGGACATCTTTAGCGAATGAAAATTGCAGCAGCTCCCAGAACATACTTACTGGGACTATGCAATCAATTTAAAACCCACATTCAAACCCCAAGTGCCCAAAATCTATGCCTTAAGCCCTGAGAAGCATGACAAGCTAGGGAAGTTCATCAAAAAACATCTCATCAGAGGAACAATCTGTTACTCCACTTTACAAACCGCGGCCCCATTTTTCTTCATAGGAAAGAAAGATGGAAAATTACACCCAGTATAGGACTACCACCACCTGAACTCGCACACCATCCTAAATGTTTGCCCCCTTCCACTAATCCAAGAACTATTGAATGTGATAAAAGGACCCACAATATTCAGCAAACTGGACATGCAATGGGGATATAACAATATACACATCAAGAAAGGCGATAAGTGGAAAGCCGCATTCATCACTCCGTTGAGGTCTTATGAACCAATGGTAATGTTTTTTGGTCTAACCAATATGCCAGTCACTTTCTAAGCCATGATGAACATGATCTTCAGAGAACTTATCATGGCTTGGAAAATAACAATATATATGGATGACATCCTCATCTTTTCTAGATCCATGGTGGAGCACATTCAAGTCCTAAATTAAGTTTTCTAAATCTTACGTGATAACGACCTTTACCTGAAACCAGAAGTGTGAGTTTTACAAAGAAAAACTACACTATCTAGGGTACACAATCTCAAAAGACCACATTGCTATGGAAGATTTGAAAGTGGATGCAATAAAAAATTGGCCAATCCCATGTACATTCCAAGATGTTCACTCCTTCTTAGGTCTAGGAAAATTTTACAAGTGCTTTATTGACAAATTCTCACTCATTGCATGCCTTTTACACGACCTTACCAAGAAAGATAAAAAATGGAACTAAACCCTAAAATGTCAAGAATCTTTTGAATGACTAATGAAAGCTTTCATCAGCCAACTGGTTTTAAACTACCCAAATCCCATATGCCCATACTGACTAGTAACGGATGCATCATTGATTGCCTATGGGGCCACCTTCCTATAAGAAGGAAAAGATGGTGACTGGCACCTAGTGGCTTTCTTCTCTGGATCATTCTCCCCAGCAGAGTGAAATTACGACATCCACGACCATGAACTTTTGGTCATTATAAAGGCATTGGAGCACTAGAATCAATACCTCGAAGGAGCATGACATCTCTTTGAGATCTGGACAGACCATAAAAAGCTGGAGCACTTCCAAATGGTGTGAGATCTGTCATGAAGACATGCCCATTGGAGTCTTTATTTGAGCAGATTCAATTTTTCCCTCAGCTACAAAGCGGGATTGACAACTCATTCCAATGCTCTGTCCAGGCATCCAGATCTAAGTGAGGGGGTGGAATCTGACAACAAAGCTCAAATACTACTACCAGCCAAACTTTTCACTAGTTATAGCAAAACTTTGGCAGAATCAAACCCAACGAGGCATGTCAAATCCACAGAAATTGTGTCCTTAGATCTTATCTCTCTTACCCAACACTCGCAATTAGATCAAGATGCCTTAATGAGGATAGCCCTCACTAAACTACTACGAGAAGGTCTATAAGCAATAAAGGGGATTCTAGGAAAATGGACATATGAAAATGGAATCACCAGGCATGACAGCTACATATGCATTCCTAAGAATGATGCCATTCAAAGACTCATCATCAAAACACATCATGACACACTGGTAGTAAGACATCCAGGAAGAGTGAAGACCTTTAAACTGGTACAATGGCACTACTGGTGGCAAAACATGACCAAATTTGTCCATGGGTATGTGGACGGATGCACTACATGCCAATTCACAAAGAATTTGACATACAAGACACGACCACCCATCCACCCTTTAGAAACCATCAACACCCCCTGGTGATTCATTTTGACAGACTTCGTTACCAACCTACCCAAAAGTAAGGGTTTTGACTCAATTAACATGGTGGTAGACCAAGGGCTGTCAAAAGGCATAGTTATCACACCATGCAAGAAGACCATCATAATAGAAGAAACGACTACACTCTTCCAAAATAATGTTTTCAATCGATATAGATTGCCAACTAAAATAGTGTCTGATTGAGGTCCCCAATTTGTAGCAAAGTTCACATAGAAACTCTGGAAATGGCTAGGCATCACTGCTACTCTCAGCACGGTGTATCATCCCTAGACAAATGAAGAGATGGAACAAGTAAATCAGGAGATCAAACAGTTTCTGAGAACATTCTACAACTACCACCAAGATAACTGGGTAGATCTTTTGCCATTTGCCGGATTCTCACACAACATGCAAAAACATTCAACTACTGGAAAGTCCTTCTTTGAAGTGCTCTATGGCTTCAATCCCCTGTATTCAGCAGACACAGCTTTGGAAACAAAGGTACCTGTGGTAGCTGAATGCATAAGGATGATCGCAGAAGTCCAGAAAGAAGCTGCAGCCAGCTTACAAATGGCAAGCCAACATGCCAAAGACTAAGATTCTAATAGGAAACTTCCCCAATAGGAGAAAGGAGACCAAGTATGGCTAAAAGGAACCCATATCCGGATGATACATTCCAAGTTCAAGCTCACCCCCAAAAGATATGGCTCCTTCAAAATATTAGCAAAAGTAGGACCCTTAGTATATAAATTACAAATTCCTCAACATTGGAAAATCCATCCTGTTTTCCATGCCACTATACTCACCAAGTACAAGGAAACAGAAGTGCACAGGGAAAACTTTGTGAGACCATTACCAGAGGTATTAAATAACAAGGAGCATTATGAAGTGGAAATGATCATGGACTCAAGGAAACAAGGATAGGGAACCAAGTACTTGGTCAAATTGGCAGGGTACCCCAAGGCAGACAATACCTGGGAGCCCTACACTCTTTTAAAAGGAACAGCAGAAGAAGTTATGAAGGAGTTCCATGACCAATACCCTAATAAACCCTGTCCAGGATTATCCTAGAAGGAGAAAAGGAGTATAAAAGAGCAACAAAACTGCTTCAAGAAAGACATCCTTCCCACTCTCCACTTGCCATATCTAAATGCTCACTCACAATGACCACAATGCCTCATCTCCATCTAGAAACTCCTCCCCCGATGTTGTCCTTATAGTCACCAACCCAGACACCGGATGGGTCAAAAGAGGAACAAGCACCCATTGACTGGAGCCTGACACTGCCATTGCTGTCCTCGCCCTAAATCTTAACAACTTCTCAGATGACAATACTGAAGATTATGCCAAGTTCAAAGAAAGGGAAAGAACCTAATTACTACTAGAGAGGAGTCCCCAAAATGCATCACGGAATGAAGGCATTGATAATAGAAATGTGAGCAGCCCTAGCGGATTGCCAGCTAGAGTTCCATATTCTGTTGGGAACACGCTGAATCCTAGAACTATAGGTCCACTAGAACTATGGGCGAGAGCTAGAGCTCAACATCCAAGCAATGAAATAGCTAACCCAATACCAGTTCTACCAGGAACTGCACAATCATCAATACTGGCTAGTGGACAAGTTTCCAGTCCCATGGGAGGAACTGCCCATCGTTCAAATCCTCACTTTCGAGAACTAGAATAACATGCAGATGTGCTCTTACAGTGGTAATGAGCATGGGTGTTCTCTAGGCACCAATACCCCACTTTTTGCAGCTTTTTAGTATTCTTTGACTGTTCGGCATACTTAGGACCGACCAATCCCGATCCGTTCGGCAATCTCAGCCATTTGTCAGGTGCTGACTTTCTATTTAGACCTCCGCACAGTTGTTTGGAGCTATTCATAGTTATCCTATCCATCTATCATCACTCTTAGCATTAGGGGCTCTCCACAGACTGTCGCGGCGAATCGCCGATCAGTTTGGTATGCTTCACATGATCGGCACATTTGGTCGGCTTCGGTGTCCCGAATCGGAGGCAGCCAAATACTTTGTTGACTCAGAACGGATCTGTCTTTCTATTTCTTATTGTCCTTATGCCTTTTGTTGACCTATCCTTTGTTATCTTCAGAGCTCCCAAGTTTCTAAATGGTTCACCCATGTGGCATGTGGTTCTTATCCCCAGGTCTATGTGGACTCACCTTGGCAATCTCTCCACTTATTTAGACTTTAGAGTTATTGCTTCTTATCTTTTAGTGTTTGCAACATCACTCCCCTATCTTTTTTACCTTTGATCACTCTTGGCATGCATTTCTGATTGCTTTATGCCTCTGCCAATCTTTTTATCTTGTACCTGTTTGGACTTACTATAAAATGGCACCTATGGCCTTGCAATACATCAGCTTTGGCTCCCCCCTCATTCTGATTCCATTCATGCACTTGCACCTATAAGACTTTGAGCTGTTGCCTTTTAACCCTCATTTGTATTTTGCCCTTTTGTTTGTGATGTTGTATTTGATCACAGCCCTCCATCAGAGCCCTCATTGTCTTGCTCTCTCCCTCTCATCTAGTTTGTCATCCTCTGCCAGTGTCCAGTATAGCCTTGCACCCATTCCCTCCCCTTTGCATCTTGATTAAATCCCAATCAAATCCTGATCAAATACTGACCAACTGACCTACTGACTAACCAACCTACTAACCAACCAACCTACCAACTAACTGACTAACCAGATATCTTGATTTTATAGTTGTTTGCTACACCCCAAACACTTTTATTACACTCCCTTGTTAGTTGTTACATAGCTTATAGTTCTTTGCACACTGGAACCAGCTCCTGCCTACTTGTGCTTATAGGGGTGTTTCTTGGGTGTGTTTTGCTCTCAGAAGCATTACTAGTGTATCAGCAGAACATCATCTCCATGGTAATACAAATGGCTATAGCTATGGTGCTACAATGTCTCACTAATTTCTTGGCAGGATAACCTGGAAATGAAAATAGTGAACCTTTATAGTTAAGGTCTGACTAGTGTTTTGGACATCCCACTTTAGATCTCTAGTTTTACAGGATCATTTCCACATTAGGGGATCCTAACTGCTGACACATGAGATAAGTAGAGTCTAGGCTATCTCTACTGAAACATGCTTCTCCAAGGAATGCAAGGCCGCAAAATAACATTTGGAACAATGTAAAACTACCAAAGGCTTAGTCTGCAATGACTATAAACTACTAGGGTTCACAATGACATTAAACTACCATTGACCCAGGGAGCATGGTTGTATTCTGGTGAAGTGCAGGTTTTTGGGAGGACCCACATCACAGAACCCTGCCTATAAGTGGTCAAAGTGCTTTGATGCTCATCACTTTTCAGTAAAAAAACATCAGGTCATCTTGGTTTACATCCAAATGAGGGGTCTGGGAACGCAAAAGAGCACGCACCTCTTCATGGAATGCCTAGTCTAGTCCTAGAGCCAGAGTACAATAAATTCTGCTCCAAGACCTAGTCAGGAGGCAACTAGGACATGTGCCTCAAGTCAAAAATCTAGTTAGACAAGCTAGATCACATGACTCCTTTCGGCTCACATTGTGAAAGAATGACAAGAGCTGGCCACTCACTTTTGGGAAAAGTCTATTCCACCAAGCATCCAAAATAATGTTAAACCACTATCCCTCAGTTTTAGGGATTAATCAATGTAATTTTTGACAAAAATGATGTTGAATGTCCAAGAAGACATTAAACTAGGCATTTTTTTGCCATAATATTTGTGGCAAAACACATCTGTAATGATGGTAATCTATTTGTTCTTTTTAGTATAGGGATTGTTGATGCTGTCTGTATCAATCACAGTAGCAGACAATACCAATGTCCGAAATGACACTAAATTGTTGTCCTCTCAAGAATGAGGATTATGCATGGTAAATATCTTGATCAAATATCACCCGCGTCCACAATGACAATAAACTATGTGCTCCTTACCAAATAAGAGTTATGGTTGATGACCACAACCTTGGTCACCAACTGGTCCGCAATGACATTAAACTATTTGTCCCTTTTTCCATAGGGATCATTGGTTAACATCATTTTTAATGAAAATATGTTAGCCAAATGTCCAAAATGACAGTAAACTACCTTCATCCTCGGAAGGCAAAATCTATTCTGACTTGAGGGATGCAGTTAGACAATAGCAGTCGCCTACCTTACGGCGTTAAACTGAGTAGTCTTATAACATTGAGACATTATAAGTTATCCAGTTTGATATAGTATAAATTGTTTCCATTATGCCTCAGTGGAATTTATGAGGGCAAAGTCTGGTCTAGGTCCCTATGCACATAACCAATGAATGATCTGGCATGCAGAAACATCTTTCCTTATGGATACTCCATGTTGATGATGAAGAAGGTTTGAAATGACCTTATAAAAGTAAACTATCAGGCAGCGCTGGGCGCCCTTAATAGGTCTGCAATGACCTTAAACTATGGATGTCTGTTATGACGTTAAACTAGCAAACATCTGGAACAACATTTAAACTACCATTATGGATATATATCTCACACACTGACAAACAAACAGCTCAATGGAGACAGAAAACTCCTAGAGGATCAAATAACATAAGTCAGTCTTCCTCCCAGAAAATAAAGTCATTCCTGGGAGTCACACCTCGTTGATATATTGTTGGATCAAGAAAGCAAATCATATATGGAGTGGCAATGAAACAAGCATGGCTTGTTATCCTACTAGGCAAATAGGACGTCAAAAGGGGGTATTGTTATGATCAAGACTTATCGGGCCTACACGGTGGTCTATTCTGATATAATCATCACAACTACTAGGTGGCCTCATGTTGTGAGGTGTACACGAAGGTACAGATATAACCTTTGGTCATCCACTCCCAACGGATCACCCATTATTGGTCGAGTATCATGGGCCTATTGTAGCAGGCAATCTTCCTTACCTTACAAATTACTCACACACGGGCATGAAACCCCTTTGACCTTTTGGTCGGAAAGAGGCAATTGGAGAAGCAAGAATAGTCATTTTAGAGAGAGGAATGACTTAGAAAATACCTATGGGATACATATACGGTATTCTCATGCCCTTCCCAAAATAGTATATAAAGCCCATAGAATAGGCTAAGGATCTTTAGTCTATTTTCTTCATTCTTAGACAGTCTTCACACTGTCTATTCTACCCTCTGTGCCATCATGCACAATAACTGCAATACTATCTGGCTCCTGTGCTATGTGTACAGTTGAGACTATCATTCCTCCCTTCCTCTACGAGTGACCTAGGGAAGAACCTCCTACTCTTGGGTTTACCAAACAAGCAGTTCATAACAGCATCACCATAGCATTCATCATAGCTTATTATCTCCAAACAGATGGAGAAACAGAACAGGTAAACCAAGAGATTGAACAGTTTTTAAGGACATTCTGTAACTACCATTAAGATAATTGGGTAGGCTTTTTACTATTTGCAGAATTCTCACACAACATATAAAAGTGCTCTGCTACAGGGAAATTACTGTTCAAAATTCTCTATGGTTTCAACCCTTCTTATTCAGTGGACATAGCACTAGAAACCAACATCAGCAAAAGTGACAAAACATGGGATGGCCTTGGATGGATTGGGGGGTTATATAATCTCGAGAGCCTGCAGGCAAGGTCATATATGGCATTGCATTTGCCATGCTCTCCTTGGTGGTTTGGCGCAATCGTTGCATTAGATTGCAATCTGGAGGCCCCGATGCCAATGTAATATATTTCTGGCCTTCATAATATATCCTTATACATGCACACTGGCCTCAAAATATATTGTTCAACATGCACACCGACTCAGAATATAATGTTATACATACACCCGGCCTCAAGATATAATGTGATACATACACACCGGCCTCAAAACTTGCCGTAACCCTCCTCTGCAAGCACTTGCTTGTCCCGCTCCCTTCCGTCCCCTTTAGGCAACGGGTCGGGATCATTGTCAGAGTCCTCCTCCTCCTCCTCCTCTGTTAAAGGGCCTTCTTCTCCCTTCTCTTCTTCAGATTCCTCTTCCGAATCGTCATCCTCAGTACCGCCTTGCTCGTCGACTCCCTCGTCAAAGGGCTCTTCCGGCACTTGTGCAGCTTGCCCATCTTGGAGAAGGCTGGTATTGGGATGCCATGTGCCCTTGTGACCGATGCCACCGCCGCCGAAGCGCATGAACATGTCGTGGTCCACAAACCTAGGAGAAATTGAGAAATAGAAGTAGGAAATGATGTGAAACTTACATGTTAATATAATACCCTTCCCAATCTTCATCGTTCTCTGCTGGCTGTCGAGAGATGGATGGCCCAAGTTGCTCGGAGGTGTGTCCACGTGCGAATGCAGGGATGAGGTGTATGCCGCGGATGATTTGCTTGGGGTCTAAGAAGCCGAACGCGGCAGGATTGTCTTCGGGGATAAAGGCAACACTGTGCAGCCACTTGAGATCCCACCCACCTGGCGCATCAGTGTCGAGGCCAAACCAGCGAACCCACAAGAAATCCAATTGCTTGGGCTCAGAGGAATGACCGTGGTGATGCACCATGCAATGGAAGATGCCAACAACACGCGCGTACCAGTACGGATGCATTGGGTTGTCAGGGGTGCCATCCTCTTGCGAGAGGACCGTTACATCTGCTTGTGTTCGTGGATTAATTGAGTCTTGCTATCATTGCATGTTGTATGAGGTGTAGTTGATCCGCAGCATGCTGTGTTGATACAGCCGGTCATTGACAATAGTGATGTTGTCATGGTCCTCGTCTGAGAACTCACATTTATCGCCATTGTAAGCGAGCCCTAGCATATGTGCCAGGAGGTGATCCTTGAGGCGAGGTAGGAACTCCTATGGTGATGGAATGAGCAGGCAATCAATCAGGTCGACAATCACCACTTACCTTGAGCACGGGGTCTCCAGGGTGGTCGTGAATCCAAGACCGCACGTTCAGGTGCTTCCTTATTGATATGGCAATGTGGTAATGGGCGGTGGGGTCAGACAAAGGCAGCCGTTCAGGCCACTTACACTTCTGCCTGCGCGTGCGTACTAGCTCGCGCCTACGATGTTCATCTGACTGCTTTGCGACTTTGTGAAGGAGGCATTCACGAGCGTCATGCCTTGCCAGCTGTGGAACAAAGTTGTTCTTGTTTGTACAGTCGTAGCGACATTTGACTACCTTGTGTGCGAGCTCACCCTGTGTAAGAAATACTCAACTAATACTACTTATGTGAAGAAGCAGCAGTCCTTACCACTTGCGTGCTGTACGAGTCTGTTGTTTCAAAGCGGAGGATCATGCCAATGTAGTCACTAAGGGCATGGTATTTGTAGGTTACCAAGTTCAAGATTTTGCGCAGTTTTTCCAAAGCAAATGTTGTCACACTAATGTTCTTTCCTGAGTCAAGACCCTTCTTGATCATTGCAGCCTTGCGTCTTCCTCGCGCAGCCATCTCGTGAGGGAGTTCCCTTGTGTCATAAGCCGCGCAGGTCTTCTTGACAAACCGTTGCATTGCAGCACCGAGCATGAGTGTGGCGGTAGCGAAAAACCCCAGAGAGGTGCCTGTATGGAGGCGCTGTTACGACTGCTCGTCGGTAACCCCAAGAGTAGGAGGTTCTTCCCTAGGTCACTCGTGGAGGGTGTGTGGAACGGTGGTCTCGACTGTACGTGTAGCACAGGAGCCAGGAGTGTATTGCGATGTAGCAATGAAAGGTACTGTAGGAAGACAGTACTGAACGAAGGTTCCTGTATGTGGAGATACAGGAGAACGAAGGGCTGTAGTAGGAAGACTACAGCGAACGAAGAGAATAGACTGAAGATCCTCAGCCTATTCTATGGGCCTTTTATACTACTTTGGGAAGTAGGGCGTGAGAATACCGAATATGTATCTGTAGGTATTCTCTAAGTCGTCTCTCTCAACAACGACTACTCTTGTGCTTCTCCGTTGGTCTCCTTCCGGCCAGGAAAGACTAGGAGGTTCATGCCCTGCGTGTGAGTAATTTATAAGGCGGCGTTCCATGCCCGCTAATACAATAGGCCCGTGATACTCGACCAACGATAAGGTGATCCGTTGGGAGTGGATGACCAAGGTTAATATCTGTACCTTGGTGTACGCCTCAACCTGTGAGGCCGCGTGATATTTGTGATGATCATATCGGTATAGACCGCCGTGTAGGCCCGATAGAACGTGATCATAACAATACCCCCTTTCTACGTCCTATTCGCCTGGTAGGACAGCGCTGTGCGCTTCATCGCCACTGCATATACGATTTGCTTTCTTGATCCAAAAGCGGTCTCCGGATGCGACTTCCGGGACATGACTTCGTTTTCTGGGAGGAAGACCGACTTACGTCGTTTGATCCTCTAGGAGTTTTCCATCTCCGTTGAGCTGTTTGTTTGTTGAGTCGTGAGGGTACCACACCTCCGCTCTATGGGATGTTCTTCCTTCACCCCTCGGTTGTTGTGATCTTTCCTGGGTTCTCAAGCCAGGATGTCAGTCCGGTCGACGCCGGACAGGTGTCAAGAAAGGCGTATGAGTGCGAGTGGTGTATGGATGAATAGAAACTCTAGCATGTGGGTTCCAGTTCGTGTCATCAGGTTCTTCTTCTTCCTTCTCCGAGGGCCAAACCTCAGTGTTTCCAGGATAGTCGTTATCCTCGTGATAAATGTTGTTCCTCTTGGCGTTCAGAGGATGGCGTCCACGGGCAAGTAGGTTGATCGCTTTACAAAGGCTTAGGCCTACTTCCCCAGACTACCATCTTAACGTCCCAAGCAATATCGCTCCCATACGGTGAGCTCATCTCCGGTGAGGTTGCAGCCATAAATCCCAAGCAGTATTGCCCCCATACGGTGGGCTCATCTCCGGTGAGTTAGTTCGACGTCCAGAGTTTGTTTGATTCACTATGCGTATTGGGTTTGAGGCAAGGATGTGAAGAGAAATAGACTTGAAGGGTGCCGTGAGGAGTAAGGAGGAGTCTGACTCCTTCTCCAGATCGGCCCGTTCGCTTGCACGAATGGACATTAAGACCACAGCTGATATATTTGTCGGGTTGCGAGATATATCCACGACTGGCAGTTTAAAACGTCATGCGGGACGGTCCGTAGTTTATCGTCGTTTCGGACGATCCGTAGTTTAACGTCTTTGCGGACGTCAGTAGTTTTACATCATTTCGGATGTACTTCATCATCAACATGGAGTATCTGTGGGGAAAGATGTTTCTGCACGCCGGACCATTCATCGGTTATGTGCATAGGGCCATAGACCAGACTTTACCCGCTCCAGATTCCACTGAGGCATGATGGACGGTTTATACTATATCAAACCGGATAACTTATACGTCTCAATATTAGGAGACCGCTCAGTTTAATGCCGTGAGGTAGGCATCCTCGCAGTTTAATGCCGTGCGATAGGCATCCTCGCAGTTTAACGCCGTGCGATAGGCGGACTATCGTCTGACTGTGTCCCTCGAGTCACGATAGGCTTTTCCTCCGAGGATGAGGGTAGTTTAATGTCATTTCGGACATTGTCGACATATTCTCGTCAAGAATGATGTCGACCGATGATCCCTATACTAAAAGGGACAAGTAGTTTAACGTCGTTGCGGACGATTCAGCACCAGAGTGATGAATCACAACTCCTGTACGGTAAGGAGCACGTAGTTTAATGTCATTGCGGACCGATTGACACCATGGCGGTCAATCCACAACTCCTATTCGGTAAGGAGCAAATAGTTTTCCGTCGTCGCGGACGCATTGGCGGCCAGGGGATTGGACGTCAATGACAACCCCTAGGTTCAGGGGCACCTAGTTTAACGTCATCGCGGACGCGCGGTATCTTGTCAAGATCGCCACGCACAATCCCTAGAACGAAGGGACGGTAGTTTTACATCGTTGCGGATGCCCGTAGTTTACCGTCGTTGCGGACGTCGAGATACCATTGGCCTCGAACAATCCCTATGTGGAAAGGGACAATAGTTTAGCGTCATCGCGGACGTTGTTTCGCCACAAATATTGTGGAAAAACAATGCTTAGTTTAACGTCATCCCGGACGCTTCGTAGTTTATCGTCGTTGCGGATGAGACCTAGTTTTACGTCGTCGCGGACGACAATGGCGGAATAGACTTCTGATGAGTGGCCCTCTCTTGTCGTTCTTCCGCTGTGTGGGCCAGACGAGAGTCGCATGACCTAGTCCCTTCCCACTAGATCTTCGACTCGAGGCACGTGTCCTAGTTGCCTCCTGACTAGGTCTTGGAGCGGAATTTCTTGTACTTCGACTCCAGGACTAGACTGAGCGCTCCATGAAGAGATGCTTGCTCTTCCATGTCCCCAGACCCCTCGCTTGGAATTGAACCAAGACGACCCGATATTCTTTTACCGAAAAGCGAGTGAATATCGGAAGCGCTTCGACCTTTTATAGGCAGGGTTCTGTGACGCGAGTCCTTCCGCGCTTCGCCAGAATGCAACCACGCTCCTTTGGTCAATGGTAGTTTAACGTCATCTCGGACGGGGATAGTTTTCCGTCGTTTCGGACGAGGACTAGTTTAACGTCATTGCGGACCCTAGTAGTTTATAGTCATTGCGGACCAAGCCTTTGGTAGTTTTACATCGTTCCGGATGTAATTTGTGGCCTCGCATCATTTAGGAAGACTTGTGAGGTAGAGGCGGCCCGCTCTCTACATCATCTCATGCGCCAGCTGTAGGATCCCCTAATGCGGAAACGATCCTGTAAAACGGGAGATCCAAAGTGGGACGTCCCAAAACACCAGTCAGACCTTGACTGTGAGGGTTCACGATACGAGTTATGCATCATAATTTCTTGACTCGGACTTGCAACCGGTTATGTATGGGCACTTCGCTGTACCAAGGCGAAGGGCCTGCTTGTCGACACCTACGAGTAGAGTATATGTCATGTAGAGGGTTCCCTAATGCGGAAAAAACCCTGTAAAACTGAGGATCCAAATGGGACGCTCGTTGCATCTGTCAGATTAACTCCTTGACAGCGAGGATGTGAAAGGATTCCGCCGTAGGTCGTACGTGGAATTATGCCCGCTGTTGTCCTTGATTCGTACCATCATTTGAACCTAGGACTGAAAATGGTCAGGTACTTCCCCTGCCTTCTTATCTTTTCACAGTTTTAAGACATGCAGGTCCGATAGTTTAGACGTCGTTCCGGACGCGGGGTAGTTTAACGTCTCTTTCGGACGAGGTCGTACAGTTTAACGTCTTGAGGGACGATCCTAGTTTTACGTCGTTGCGGACGATTGTAGTTTTACATCGTTTCGGATGTTTTTGTGTCGGGGGAAGGAGTTCCTCAACTTCCTTACCCCCTTTCTTCTCCCTATGCCCTGTTATTAGTCCGTTTAATAATCAAAAGGTCCTTGATAATCCCCGCCCCCTTCGTCAGGTCGGTAGTAGGGGTCCGCGTCGTCATAATTTCCTGGATCGTCTAGAGCATCCCATGCATCGAGCTCGGATCTAGTCCAAGAGCTATTTCTTCGAGCCTCCGAATTAGCGCGGCGAGTTCTGCGGCTACTTCGGTTATCCTCTCTTTCGTTCGTACGAAATCGAGCACTAGGAGGAGGCGATCCAGGCCGGTGTCGGATACTCCGGCCAGCAGTTGTTCCGCGTCCGAGGGTTGCCTGGTTTCCCCGACTCCGCCTTCCCTCATTTCTTCGATAGACGGGCGGTTCCTCCTCGTCGGTATTTCCTTGGGATAAGGGAAAACTTCGTATCCGGTGAGAGGGGGGAGTCGCGGTATGGCTATGCGCTGTAGGAACCTCTCGTTGTCTCGGTGGAGGGCGCTCCACGACCGTACGCGGAACCCTTCTTGGATTTGGTACAGGCGTGGGATGTTCTCCGGGACGTGGTACGTTCCAAGTGACAACTCGGAAAGGGTCGGTTCTGCTTGGTTGGACGTTTCCCAGTTCCCCTCCGAAGAGGAGAGCTGGAAGGAGCTCTCGGTTGACATATTGGGAGAACTCGTCAGGGTGGATGAGGAGGGCTCGGGGTCGCCCGTCATTATGGGCGTACCAGGAGGCCGTGTCCGGGTCGGTTTGGAGGGCAAGCGTCCTGATCTGGAGACTGGCACTAGCCAGTCGTCGAGGTACGTCGCTATGTTCATTCCCGGGTTGTCCTGCCGAGAAGTTAGCGAGTCTTTGGAGGGCCATGGCTGTGGCCATTTGTATTACCGCGGAGATGGTGTTCCGCTGGAGGAGCGCGTCCGCGTGTCGCTCCAGTTCTCCGGTGTGAGGATCTGTACGAGGGGTAGGTCCTCCCATGGAGCTGGGAATCGGTCCACTAGTTGGTACTGGCGAAGGTGCAGTTTCTGATAGAACTGGTATTGGTTCAGCTTCTCCATGGCTTGGGAGTTGAGCTGCCGTTCTTGCTCGAAATCCCGAGGGACCTGCAACTCCACTAGGACGCGTGCCCTCACTAGGAGGTGGAACTCCCACTGGTAATGGGCCAGGGCTCGACTGGTTTCGGTCATCAGAACTTTCATGCCGTGGTGTACCTCGTGAGGCCCTCTCCGGTGAGGGTCTTCGGGTTCTTTCCCTTTCCTTGAACTTGGCATAGTCTTCGGCGTCGTCGTCGGAGAAGTTGTTGGTGTGAGGGGTGAGGAGGACCCCGGTAGATCCTGGTTGTTGAGGACTTGTTCCTCTATCAATTCGTCCAACATCTGGTCGGTGAGGACTTGTTCCTCTTTCCACTCGTTCGACATCTGGATTGGTGACCATAAGGACGACATCGGGGGAGGAGTTTCTGGATGGAGACGAAGCATCGTGGTCGTCGTGGAGGAGCATTCGAATGGGGGAAAGTGTTCGAGAGGGAAAAAGGTGAGAAGATGTTTATTGGAGTCCTCTTGTCGCTCCTTTTATAATCTTTCGTCCCTCCTCTCAGGCTGTTCCCGGACGGGGTTTGTCTGGGTATTGGTCATGGAAATCTTTCATGGCTTCTTCCGCTGTTCCTTTTAGGAGAGTGTAGGGCTCCCAGGTGTTGTCTGCTTCGGGATATCCCATCCATTTGACCAAGTATTTGGTTCCCCGTCCTTGCCGTTTTGAATCCACGATCATTTCTACTTCGTAATGTTCTTCGTCGTTCAATACCTCCGGTATTGGTCGCGCGAAGTTTTCTCCGTGGGCTTCGGTTTCTCTATATTTGGTGAGCACGGCGGCGTGGAACACCGGGTGGATTTTCCACTGCGGAGGAATTTGGAGCTTGTACGCCAGGGTTCCCACTTTTCCCAGTATCTTGAAGGGGCCATATCGCCTAGGGGCGAGCTTGAACTTAGGATGGGTTGTCCGGATATGGGTTCCTTCTAACCATACTTGGTCTCCTTCCTCCCATTGGGGAAGTTTCCTGTGAAGATCCCGGTCTTTGGCGTAATTGCTGGCTATTTGTAAGCTAGCAGCGGCTTCTTCCTGGACTTCTGTGATCGTCCTAATGCGTTCAGCTACCGCAGGTACCTTTGTCTCCAGCGCCGTGTCAGCTGAATAGGGGGGATTGAACCCGTATAGTACTTCGAAAGGGGATTTTCCGGTGGCCGTGTGTTTCCGTGTGTTGTGTGAGAATTCGGCGAACGGCAAAAGGTCTACCCAGTTGTCCTGATGGTAGTTGCAGAACGTTCTCAGGAATTGCTCGATCTCCTGGTTTACCCGTTCCGTTTCTCCATCTGTTTGGGGATGATACGCCGTGCTGAGAGCGGCGGTGATTCCTAGCCGTTTCCAGAGTTCTCGGGTGAATTTGGCCGCGAATTGAGGGCCCCGATCGGACACTATTTTGGTCGGCAGTCCATGTCGATTGAAGACGTTATTTTGGAAAAGCACGGTTGTTTCTTCTGCCGTGATCGTTTTCTTGCATGGGGTGATGACTATGCCTTTTGACAGACCTTGATCCACTACCACATTAATTGAGTCAAAACCTTTGCTTTCGGGTAGGTCCGTGACGAAGTCCGTCGAGATGAATCGCCAGGGAACGTTGGTGGTTTCCAGAGGGTGGATAGGTGGGTGTGTCCTGTGTGTCAAATTCTTCGTAGATTGGCATATGGCGCATCCATCCACGTATTCATGGACGAATTTTGTCATGTTTTGCCACCAGTAGTGTCGTTGCACCATTTCCAATGTTTTTGCTCTACCCGGGTGTCCTACCGCGGGTGCATCATGATGTGTTTTGACGATGAGTCTTCGGATGACGTCGTCTTTGGGGACGCATATGTGGCCGTTGCGTCTGGTGATTCCGTCCTCATACGTCCAATGTCCCAATAATCCTCTCATCCCTTGTGGTCCTACTCGTACGAGTTTTGCAAGAGCTACTCTTGTTAAGGCGTCATGTTCCGATTTCGAGTGTCGGATGAGGGAGATGAGGTTTGAAGAGGCAATTTCCGTGGATTTTATATGCCGTGTCGGGGACGGTTCTACCAATGTTTCGTCGGATTTGTTGAAAAGCTTGGCCGGGAGTAAAATTTGAGATTTGTTGTCAGATTCTACCCCCTCACTTAGATCTGGACGCCTGGACAGAGCATCAGAGTGATTTGTCGATCCTGCTTTATAGCTGAGTGTAAAGTCGAATCTGCTCAAATAAAGGCTCCAACGGGCGTGTCGTCGTGATAGGTCTCGCGCCGTTTGGAAGTGTTCCAGGTTTTTATGATCTGTCCAAATCTCGAAGGGGTGTCGTGCGCCTTCGAGGTAGTGATTCCAATGTTCCAACGCTTTGATTATAGCCAAGAGTTCCCGGTCGTGAACGTCGTAATTCCGCTCTGCTGGTGAAAACGATCCAGAGAGGAAAGCGACTGGGTGCCAGTCACCATCTTTTCCTTCTTGTAGAAGGGTAGCTCCATAGGCGATTAGTGATGCGTCCGTTACTAGTCGATATGGGTGCATGGGATCTGGATAGTTCAAGACAGGTTTACTGATAAAAGCTTTCTTTAATCGTTCGAAAGCTTCTTGGCATTTTGTAGTCCAGTTCCATTTCTCGTCCTTTTTGGTGAGGTCATGTAGGGGGCGCGCGATGAGTGAGAACTTGTCAATAAAGCGCCTGTAAAAATTCCCTAGACCCAGGAAGGAGCGAATGTCGCGGACTGTACGTGGGATTGGCCAATCTTTTATTGCGTCCACCTTTGAGTCCTCCATGGCGACATGGTCTTTTGAAATTGTATATCCCAGGTATTGGAGCTTTTCCTTGTAAAACTCGCATTTTTCGGGTTTCAAATATAGATCGTTGTCGCGTAGGATTTGGAAAACCTGGTTTAGGATTTTGACGTGTTCCGTCATGGTTTTGGAGAAGACGAGGATGTCGTCCATATATACGGTTATCTTCCGGGCTGTGATGAGCTCTCTGAAGATCATGTTCATCATAGCTTGGAAGGTGGCTGGTGAGTTGGTCAGGCCGAAAAACATCACCGTGGGTTCGTAAGAACCTAACGGAGTGATGAAGCTCGCCTTCCACTCATCTCCTTCTTTGATGCGTATATTGTTGTATCCCCATCGCACGTCCAATTTGCTAAAAATGATGGCCCCTTTTATCACATCCAGTAGTTCCTGGATTAGTGGAAGGGGGCACACATTCGGGATGGTGTGCGAATTTAAGTGGCGATAGTCCTGTACCGGGCGTAGTTTTCCATCCTTTTTTCCTATAAAGAAAAATGGGGCTGCTGTTTGCGAGGTGGATCGACGGATGGTTCCTCTCTCCAGATGTTCCTTGATGAATTTTCCTAATTCGTCGTGTTTCTCTGGGCTCAGGGCGTAGATTTTGGGCACTTGAGGTTTGAAGGTTGGTTTCAAGTCGATGGCATGGTCCCAGTAAGTGTGTTCTGGGAGTCGCTGCGACTTTCGTTCGCTAAAGATGTCCAAAAATTCGTGATGCGCCTTGGGAACTCTTTCCTTTAGGTTGGTGACGATAATCTCGTCTTCCAGGTCTTGGTCGAAACTGGCAAATCCTGACGGTTCGGGGGCCAGTTTCCGAATAACTGGGTCCCGGGTGGCCTGTTTTCCTGAGGGTTTGTCTGGGAGATCAGGTTCTCCCCCGTTTGGTGAAAGAGATGGCTTGTCTTGAGCCTTTCGTTTCTCTTCTGCGTATTTCCTTATGTCCTTTAGGAGCCATTTCCTTTTGAGGTATGCTCGTAGTCGGACGCCAAACGTTCCGCTGTGATCGCGGAGTCCTACATCTTCCGATAGTCTTCGGAGGTGTTCGAGGCGCTGTTTTTCGCGCTCATTGATGCGTGGTTTGTGCCGTGGCTCCACGTCTGGTAACTGCCTGCTGTATGGCGGTTCTTCCCTTGCCCTAGTGAACCCATATGGTTGCTGGCATTTCTGGGGGCACCGATCAAAGTGCACTTCACGTCGCCTCCATTCGATGGAGGGATCGTGGTATTTCAACCAATCTGTTCCCAGGATAAGGTCGTCTTTTCCTAGATTGGAGATAAACATCTGGACGCGCTCGGTATGCGTTCGTCCACTGATGTCCCGAATGGTGAGGTTCACATCCAAGGCGGATCGGATGAGACCTGCTTTGTTAATGGTGTCATCGACGTTCCGGACGCGAATGGGGTTGTTGAGTGTATAGGTGGGGAAACGATGTCTCTTGACCCAAGTTTCGTTTACTATAACCCCTTCGCAGGCTGAGTCGATGGTTGCCTTTGCTCCAGCGTTTTGACTCCTATTTGATACTTTCACGTTCAGGCGTATGGGGGTGATGATACGATCGTTCATTGCTCCGATACGAATACAGGTGCGGGCATCAAACTCGGGTCGTCCTTGACCTCTCTCCTTCGCTGGCGAGGGAGAGGTCAGGAAAAACGCTCCGCGTGTCCCAGGATCACTTCTCTTGCTTCATCTTCCCCTAGTTCTCCGAGTACTGCTCCGATTCGAGCAGAATGACTGACGCTTCCGTCTCCCCGTCGTCCGTTAGGTAACACAGCGCGTTGCCCATGGTTCGTTTGGGGTCGTCCGGATGAGGTAGAGTGAGGACGTTCCATCGAAGGACCAGGTTGTGGTACCCGCTGGTTGTTGCGAGGGACATCCTCTGTCTCCATTCCTCGATATATTCCCGCTTGGTTTCCCATAGCGGGTGCGTCGTCTTCTCCCTCCAAATCAACCGCGCGGTTTCCTCTCCCTGTCGTACCCAGGCGTCTTTTCGAGTTTCCTCGAACTGGGCGAACGCCTCTGCGTGGTGACCAACAGTTAGCGCTAGAGTGCCCTGGCTTTCCGCAGTTGGAACAGGAGGTGGTTCGCTTGCCGTCAAATTTTCTCTTTTGACTTTCGGCGTTACGCTTTCTGGTAGCGTCAATGTCCATGTCAACCACCTGGTTGTTCATTCTGCGAGGGGCGTTTGTGGAATTGTAGCGGGGAGAGATTTGGTTATGAAAACGATTCAGATAATCGCTTCGAAAGGAGGTGGAGTTGGCGAGGATGGCTTTTTGAGCTGTTCTGGCTCGAAGTCGTCCATCTATTTCGCAGGCTGTATTGATCCAGTCCTGAATCGTATCCTTTGGCTGAACTTCCTTGTCGTATATTTTGTCCATGACGCGCGGGTCTAACCCGCGTTGGAAGTAAGGGACTTGCTCTTTATCGGAGATGTCGGCATCGGCGGCGATGAGAATGAATTGGTTGGAGTATTCATCAACCGTCATTCGTCCTTGGGAGAAGGCCATAAGTGCGCTTCGCGCCTTGTCGGTCTTGCCCGTCTCCCTGAACTGTAATTTGAACTTGGCTAAAAAGTCCTTCCAGGTGCCTAGGTCGGTAGGTGGATCCGCTCCTACTGATTTGAGGAGGAAGTTCTCCGCCCAAGCTCCCGCCGTGCCGTATCTCATGCATGAGAGCACAAGGGATATTTTGTCTTGATCGGTCTTGTATCGATCGGATTCTGCTGCGAAAAGAAGGAGGCATTGGAGCATGAATTTCTGGGATTCAATGCGGTCGCCTGTGTAATTGTCTGGGAGTTTGACTTTTCCTCTTCCGGGTTGTACTGTCGCGGAAGGGGTGTTTGTAGAAGTCGAAGCTTGTCCCGACATTTCGGCGAGTGGTTCGTTTCGGGTGTTGATCGGTGTTTGGTCTGGTGAGTCGGAGTCTGATTCCGAGGTTGTTTCCTCTTGCTCCGAGTCTTCGGGGATTACCGGCGCCGGTTCCCTGTATTGTGGGGCTAGTTCCCACTGAGCTTCTGTTTCGTTCCAAATATCCTCTTCTTCTGTTCCGTCTTCAAGGGTGAAGTAATAACGCCCGTTTCGGTATGAGCAGTTATCGTAATTCGGAGGGGCAGTTCTGTTATTGTCTTCGTAGACCCAGAAGTCCCCTTCGCGCCGGATAGGGCGATTGTTGTGACGGAGTTGGTTATTGATAAGTCTAGTGCCGGGTGGGTATTCCTGGCCTAGGTCTTGCTCCAGAGTGTATGCAGTAACGCTTTCTCGATGGGGGTCTATTATCCCCACCAAGGAAGGTTATGAGAGAGAGTGTGGCAGCAAGCTAGTGTGAGCAAGGTAGGGGCAGAAGAGTCTATTCTAGTGTTACGACTGCTCGTCGGTAACCCCAAGAGTAGGAGGTTCTTCCCTAGGTCACTCGTGGAGGGTGTGTGGAACGGTGGTCTCGACTGTACGTGTAGCACAGGAGCCAGGAGTGTATTGCGATGTAGCAATGAAAGGTACTGTAGGAAGACAGTACTGAACGAAGGTTCCTGTATGTGGAGATACAGGAGAACGAAGGGCTGTAGTAGGAAGACTACAGCGAACGAAGAGAATAGACTGAAGATCCTCAGCCTATTCTATGGGCCTTTTATACTACTTTGGGAAGTAGGGCGTGAGAATACCGAATATGTATCTGTAGGTATTCTCTAAGTCGTCTCTCTCAACAACGACTACTCTTGTGCTTCTCCGTTGGTCTCCTTCCGGCCAGGAAAGACTAGGAGGTTCATGCCCTGCGTGTGAGTAATTTATAAGGCGGCGTTCCATGCCCGCTAATACAATAGGCCCGTGATACTCGACCAACGATAAGGTGATCCGTTGGGAGTGGATGACCAAGGTTAATATCTGTACCTTGGTGTACGCCTCAACCTGTGAGGCCGCGTGATATTTGTGATGATCATATCGGTATAGACCGCCGTGTAGGCCCGATAGAACGTGATCATAACAGGCGCAGCTTTGCGTATGCATGCTAGGTTGTGAGGTCAAACAGGAGGTTGGCCACAATGGTGTCGTGGCGTGCAGGCAAAAGGCCTTCGAATACTGGCATAGCACACTGTGAAAAGGAGGTTATACTAATGTGTGACATGATTCTTCGAGTCAGGGGAAGTACTCACCTGTAACAAGTCTTCAAAATCTTGTGCAGCAAGCTTCCACATGGCCAAGGCATTCCTGTGAAAGTGTCGTATTGTGCTGCGACCAAACGTGAGTACCGCTCGATAGCTATAATGTATATACTGTTAGATTTGAATCAAATACAAATAATAGATATAATATACCGTTGATTCAATTTTTGAATGGCATCATCTGCAGCTGCTTGAAGCACTTGCATCAGATGAGTGAAGGTAGCTTTCCATACACCCAGCTCGACCTCATGCAGGAGGTTGACCACAAACATCAAATGGAAGTTGAACCCAAAGTGCACTAGCTTCGTGGAAAAGGCATTCTATAAATAATTGTTAGCTAGTTGTCTGAGTAGATAGTGGAGAAACTTACCCTTGTTAGTACGAGCGAGCGTTCACCGAGCACTGTCTTCAGCCTGTCTGCCTTGAGTGGCACACCAAACTCGTAGATTAGTCAGCGAGCAGTTTCAACATTCTGCTGGCGTTGGACATCATCTTTGTGGTCCTTGCAGCGGGTCTTCATATCAGACTTCATGCCCATGTGGACAACTTTCTTCTTCTCGACAAGGCATTGAGGGCATGGGCACTTGGCAAGATACTTGATACTCGCAAGTATGACCCTGGATACAGGTAAATTACTAGAAGGGCAAAAGACATGATAATAGACTTACTTTTTAGGGTAGTCCGTGGAGTAAGTGAAGAATCGTGGAAACACATAACACATGATACCGTTACCACATCGAATGACGATTCTGTGGGTGTATGCCTCCATGAAATTGTTGTCAAGGAGAAGGATCCATATCGCATGTATGAGCTCATGCTTACAGTGCGTGAGAGTCTCTGCCGTCGCGCTCTTGCCGAAAAATGAGTGGTAAAAATCTTGAATAATGTCTGGAAGCTGGAAAATGCACACATTGGAAAGGTATCACACCGGCAAAATGCAAACTCACTGAGGGGATGTATGCTAGATGATGGCATGCGTATGCCGTGGGTTTTGCGTGGGTGTACTTTGATTGGGAGCCAAAAAACAAGTAGAAAGGCCAGAGTGACACCATGCCAAAATTTGCAAGGTGCGTCGCATCCGACCAGAGCATGAGCGGCGCGACGATACGCTCCAACTTGTCATCAGGCTCGCATGGGAGTTTCTGTATTTCCTCGTCAGCCTCGAGCATTGAGTGTGAGCAATATATTTCTGAGTGGATGCGCTCGGGCTTTGAGTTCTTGAACGGCTTCCAAAACTGCTGAAATGGGGTGGTGTAAAGTGTAGAGAAGGTGGTGGGATCTGAATAGACAGTCTTGATAATGTCGGCGATATTGCGATGCCAGACACCCTTGACTTCAAATTCTGGCGCCTGGTCTTCGGGAGTCTTCACCTTGTCAGCAGGGAGGCGGATCTTAACAGCCGATTGATGCCAGCCCTCGCCCTCATTGAAGGGGCTCAAAGAATCGGCGATGTAGCTGTCTATGCGCTTGTTCTCTCGAGCAGTGTTGAACTTTGTGAAGTCCTTGATACTGAATCCATCCCTCATGGAATCCCCAAGAGAGTGCGCTAAGTGATCTATCTCGCTTGTGGATTTTGTCGCAAACTTCATGTACTGCCAGCACATCATAATTGCAGCTACTGCATTAGTAAACAGAGCATACCAGGGTTCCATTGATGCTGCATCCTGGGGCGGTGCCGGATCCACCTTGGGGAATGCTGCAGAGTCACAGACTTTATCGAGTGAATTTTCAGGTTCTGGGTTGTGTGTCAGGTGTCGCTTGTACTGACGGAATAACCCAAATTCATTGGGTTTTGTTTCAAAGATGAGTTCTGGCGCTGGCACCAGCTCAGGCTCAGGCTCAGGCGGAGGAGGGATTGGTGGTACAGACTCCGGGCCAGGCTGGGTAGGAAGAAGATGCTGTTTCGAAGGAATATAGGAGAGGGGGGTGGCGGAGCCAGGCAGGAAATCATCAAATTGCTTTATAAGGGTATTCCACGTCCAGAGCATGCAGAGCGCGTAGTAGGAGGCAGAAGCAGGGGTGGAAGTTCTGACGATGAAGCTTCTGGGATAGGGATCGAGTCTATAATGTTTCGCTGATACACAAAAAAAACGCGAATATTGTTCAATATGTAGTGAGCGCGTGTGAAGGCCAACAACACTCACCTCTGCTGTCAACTCTTCAGGTTCTACCAACACCTGAGCTCTCTTCCTCGACCGTGTCTCCACCTCTTCTGCCACCTCCTCCTCTCGAGCGTGCTTTTGCTGAAAGGTAACATCTTGAATATCTTGATAACCTTTGCAGTTCCGTTGATGTGTCTTGAGAGCGCGCCGGTCATGGAAATTTTGGGGACATGTGAGGCATTGGAAAGCCATTAAAAGAAGGAAAAACAAGAATGATATTACGGTTTTCATGCTTGTTAAGGGTGCATGAGCCTCATTGAGCTCTGAAAATGACAAGATGAGTCCGACTCTGCAAAAAGTCTGTGGATGCAATCACATGACCGCTCAATGTGTCGCGACTTAATGATCATTTGGTCATCACTTTTGCTTTCACTCTCACTCTCACCATGCCTTATCGACCCCCTCCCTCCGAGAATTCTGACTCAGACATGGAACATTCAAGGTATGTCTCGAACCCAGAGAGAGCGGTATCAAAACATGCCATGGAAGATGCACGCCGTGCACCAAAAAGCATGGCACAATGCAAGGGAAAGAAAAAGGATAAGACAAGGTGAGCTAAGGCTTCTTCCATAACTGTCAACTAACCTTTTCCATTATCAATAGACGTGACAACCAAGATGTTTACAAGAGCGCCGCGTGCTGGATTTCACGTGGGATCACTCTGTACGATGATCTCCATGATGTTTTCTATGTTGGTATGCGCATATAACTCAGGCATGCTGGCACATCAAACTCAGATGACGAGACCGATGGCAGAGTTTCTGCTCATGATCTTCGCATGTGAGTTCTTTGTTATCTATGTCATTTGTCATTTCTCACGTGTTAGACAGGCAAAAGGACCAGAAGAAGCTATACTTGAAGATCTTCAAACAGGTTCTCAACCTCATTCCTGGTTTCTCTGTCAAGGTTGAGTCTGAAGGTAACAAAGACTCTTTTCTTACATTGCTTGATATGGTGAGTGCATACAAGTGCATATATGCACACTTATCACATCTAGTCAGATGATCAAAAGCAGCTCCAACGCTCGTGCAGTGGACACGACACACATGAAGAAGTTTGTTGCTGAGTACGCACCACTTGATCTGGTCACGCAGCCGTTGAAACCGGCACTCGTGCTGGCCAACAAATGTGATTGTGGGTTTTCACATCCAATGCTTGCGCATCTTTTGTGCCCCAACAAGTATTTTGCAAGCTTTGACAAGGATTTCACTGGGTACTGATGTCAATGCCTCACTTGATGGCAACTCACTCTTGCTCTCTCTCTGCAGCGCCTGTAACAAGCTCAAGAACAACGAGATTAAGGTCTTGGCCAAGCATTGGCCCGCCTTCATATACAAGGACTACCAGTACGACCCAAGCGACCGCAAGAAGGGATTATTCCGCGGTCACCTCCTTATCTGCGTAAGTCTCCACCCGGCCCGTTTTCAAATTGCTGACGTCTTCTATTGTTGCAAAGGCATGGCGCGCTATATACATAGGCCCGTCAGCAGCAAGGCTAGGCCCCGACAGCAAGATAGCTCGCACAAAGAGCAGCAACGCAAAACTGCATGGCGCTAACGTCGTAACACTGCAGACTATTGTGTATGCCGCTTGCCAGGTAAGCTGGTGTCTACAGGTTCTTGCAAGAGCTAAAATTGAGTCTGCAGGCATGCTTCGCTATCAGTTCCATTGAGATGTGGAGCCCGGATGATGGCACATTCAACTATCCAATCTTTTACAGGCGGATTGTGGAGCTTTTTGAAAGGTACCAAGCTGATAAGTGGACAAAGGATGCCCTTGCATGGTGGAACAAGTACCTTACATCTTGCTCTTTGGGTTGCTTGCACTAATAAAATTCTTTGCAGGATGGTCTTTGGGGATGAATCAGGATGTGCAATACCCAATTCAGGAGGTGAAAGTGACACAGATGGGTCTGACAGTGAATGGGAAGCCCTGCACACATTGCGCTGCGAATGCTGTGTGATAGAAGAAGAAAAATCTGGTATTCAGGTTTCGTTACATATCCACATGCTACTGACATGCTACGTACTTTACAGCACAGGCCACTAGTCTGGACACCGGCGTGCGAATTTCTGCTGCACCTTCGTTGGGCCCGGCACTTGAAGCTAGCAACTTGACGACAGTGGCCCTGAACATGCTTGCAACAACAGCTTCTCGCATGAATGCCCCCAGCGCCAACGACACAGACCACACAATAACAACTGGCTCATCAAGTCTGCCGCCTCTCAGACAACTCGCCACCCAGTCCTCTTGTCATGGTCAAAGTAACCGGCGCATGTTGTTGCACATCCTGGATGAAGACGAGGATAAAGATGAAGACATGTACCTGGATGGTAGGCCCCGTGGCAGCTTGTCCAAGAGTTGCATGCATGACGGGGAAGACGGCACTACACGCCAATCACGCAAGCGCAAGACCCTCGTGGACGACGACTCTGACACTGCTAACAACAACACCGGCAGTGTTGCCCATTGCTCACACAAGCCCAGACGTCTTGTTGAGAGGGGACGACAACCACGAGCACGACAACCACGACGATGACATCCACGACGACATGGCGCCGCAATTGCGCAAGCGCACGGCCTCGCACGCTCAGTACGATGATGATAGTAGCCGCACCTCGAAAGCACGCAAGGCCAAGATGAACGCTGGCGCTACGTCGACTTCCAAGGGCAAGGGGAGGTCTTAGACGGTCATCCTTGCCGTTCAATCCTCAGGGGTTATATTATTCTCTCGTGCTCTGCTTCAATCTCTTGTGCTCTGTGCTTTACATGGCTCCACGGCGTGCTCTCGTTTCGGCTTTTTGTGGTTTATCTTCCGCATTACTGACTCATGTATATTTTTTCTTGCCGCTGAATATATTCTTATCGTTTGATTGCCGTGTATACTTACTCTTGCTGCTCAATATATACCGGCCATTAAACTAACGTGTTTTTATTGTTTGACCAGCGAATATAAGCTCAATATTAGATTGTGGATCATGTAATGCCTTGCAAGCATTGCTTGGCAATATATTCTCGCCAATCCTCACTGAGTAATATATACTTGTCTCAAGGCTTGGCAAAAACCCCAAGAAATATGAAGATTGCATTTTTGCTCATGCCTCATATGCTAATGCAATACCCCCCCTCCCAATTGGAGGTCTTGGTGGGTTTCCGGGGTATATAAAGGTATACATAGCTATTTATCATTTGTGCACTTTTGCTGATGAAGGTACCCACAGTAGCTGAATACATATGGATGATCACAGAAGTCTAAGAAGAAGCCACAGCCAGCTTATAAATAGCAGCCCAATATGCCAAAGACTAGGACCTAAGAAACTCCCCTATTAGGAAGAAGAAGACCAAGTATAGCTAGAAGGAACCCATATCTGGATGACACATCCCAAATTCAAGCTTGCCCCTAGGAGGTATGGCCTCTTCAGGATCCTATCCAAAGTTGGGTTGCTAGTGTATAAGCTGCAAATCCCTCAACATTGGAAAATCCATCCAGTTTTCCATGCCACTATGCTCACTAAATATAAAAAGAAGGAAGCACATAGAACAAACTTTGTCAAACCACTATTGGAGGTATTAAATGATAAGGAGCATTACAAGGTGGAGATGATCTTGGACTTGAAACAACAAGAATGTAGAACTAAATACCTGGTCAACTGGGAAGGATACCTAAAAGCTGATAATACCTAGGAACCCTACACTCTACTAAAAAGAACAGTGAAAGAAGCACTAAAGAATTTCCAGAATAAATACCCTGACAAACCCCGTCCTAGGTTAACTAGATTATAGGCAAAGAAATCTTCTCCCTCTTCAGCATCTCCATACCTCTTTTCCTATCCTCAGATTATACATACGCTCCTCCATGATGATACCACTACTTTGTCTCCATTGAGGAACTCCTCCCCATAATATCATTCTTATGGTCACAAAACCAGATACCAACTGACCCAACACAGAAACAATTTCAATACTGCTGAAGTCTGACACTACTATCCCTATCCTCACCTAGCACCTCAATAACTTCTCAGATGACAACACCAAAGACTATATAGAGTTCAAGAAAAGGGAAAGAGCCACAACTAGACAGCAACCATATGGGAGGGACCCTTGAGACACACCATGGGTTGAGGGCGCTAATGACAGAAACCCTGGCAATCCTAGTGAATCTATAGATCAAATCCCACCTCCTACTGGAATTATCATGCCTTCTAGAACTGGAAGTCCCTAGGGATTATGCCTAAGAGGTAGAAATCAACAACCAAGCCATGGAGCAGCTAACTCACTTCCAATTTTACCAGAAACTACACAGCCACCAGTACCACCTAATGGACAAACTCCTAGCACCATAGGAAGACCTATTGGTAGTCCAAATCTTTATCCTGGAGAATTGGAATGACATATGGATGCTTTCCTCCAACGAAATACTATTTCTGTAGTAATACAGATGGCCACTGCTATAGTGCTCCAATGCCTCACTAATTTCTCAGCAGGACAACTAGGGAACAAAAATAATGATGTACCTCAACAACTAGCTATAAGCTCTTCTCATCCACTCTGACAAGTTTATCTAGTATGTCAACCAAGAGCTCCTTTTAGCTCTCCTCTTCCCTAGAGAGCTTGGGCCTATTGAACCACACTAGACTGATCCCTTCTGCATTGTTACCTAGACTATACCCCCACATTATGGCAAATACCCCATATCTATCCTGAATCCTAGAAGGATTCCACATCCAACCCTAGAGCAACCTCCTTCATAATAAATAAACCTTTCATACACCAGATGGGAGCCCTCTAGCTATACATCATAGAGTATGAAATATTCCCTATGCTGCTTGGAATACCAATGAGGAGAAACTACCCATCCATTAAAGAAACAAAGAAAAACATAGGCACATAGCTTTGCATAATAAAATGAACTGGTACTACTATATAAACAGAGAATTGCCCTCATCAATGAATAACTAGGCTACTCTAGAAAAGAAGAAAAACCTAAGTTAGTCCAGGTGACAATTCTTTAGAATTGGTCGGCATGTCAATTAGACTATTTCCCACCCTCTAACTTCAGAGTGTCTCACCATATAACATCACTAGAGCCCATCACAAAAGGTCTATTTCTCACTCTTGTTGTTTATCCTTTTGGTACTGATATTAAAACCATATAGCTTGCCACAGCATAACTCAATATATCTGCTAGACTATTTAACCCTCTCACTATCCCCACTACTAATACTCTAGAATTAATGCTATTTCTAGGAGCAAAATATGCTCTAGCTGAATTTAAGAAAGAGAATTTAGAAATTAGTTCTTGGACTAATATAATGAACTATGCCAATTGTACAATATAATAAGTCATAAGGAAAAGTCCAAAAATATAATGCAGTACTGTTTATAAAGTGTTTGTAAAGTCATGAAAGCCCTTCAAAGCTTCCAGAACAATAAATGACTAAGCTAAAAGATGATCTTTAGACATACTATGATACTTATCTCTATCTAAACCATTATAAAAAAAGGATCTCTTAGCATATGTACAGAAGACTTAACACCAGCACATAGGTAATTTAGCCTCTTGGTACAAATATACATGTAGATATATTAAGATTGCAGAATAGCTGAAAAGCAATGGTAAAATCACAGACTAAGAAAAAGCAACCTATTTTTGGGTTGAAATTGGCCAAGGACCTTGTTCTATCATTGAAAACCATCTTTTGGCATCCACAACCAAAGTAAATCAGGCAAGCCCATATCCAATAATAACCATCAAAGTAATTGTAGAAACTATCTTATAAAGAGAGTAATTTGATGACTATTTGACTGATAGGGAATTTAATAATATAGACTAGTTAAGAGAGTCTGACTCAAACAATAAAACCTCAATAGAAGATGACATTTACCAAACTGATACTAAGAAGTCCAAGTCTCATAAATGATTGGAAGCCTTAAAAAAAAGCCAAAAAAGTCTCCTATAATAGTAATGATGAGATTATTCTGGTTAAGGCTAATGTAAACACAAAGACTTCAGTCTCAGCCAATCAAATAGAAGGACTAATAGATATGATAAACCAAATGGATATTGCATCTTCAAAATATACCCAAGTTTACTATTGAGCTATAAAGCTAGACTGGGACATAGTTCATATTACGTGAGCATCTGATTTCTAATCCAAATCTATAACTCTTCCAATTTAGACAAGCCCTAAATTAAGCTTTTAATATTAGCCTTCTCCATATCTAGCATCATCATAGGAAAATAGATTTACTAGAATACTTAAAGGACCTCCTCAGCAAGAGAAAATGATATATTATAGTTATAGAAAGAAAGGATATGAACTAGATCAGTGCCCTCAGATCTTTGAATTAACTAAATCATGAGTTCTAGCATGTGATAATATAGGACAGATCACTTATGGAACTAGTGCAAGGATTAGCGGATTCCAGAGTGAAACCATGATTAAAGCTGTAAAATATGAAAGAAATGTCATAGATATAACCCATCAAAGCTGGACCTATTTAGTCCTAATCAATGGCAATATAACCTCAGAGGCAGAAAGTAATAATAAGGGAGATATTTATATGATCTATAAGAAAGGTAAGGAATATTTAGTCTTTCTGGCAGAGCAATCTATTAAGTCAACTAAGTCAATTAAAAAAGAGGCATTTGATGGAATATATTTACCAAAACACAGTCAAGTGCAATTATATCCTAGGCCACAAGAATCTTGGGCAATGCAGGCTCTAAGAATTCCAGAAGAGTGGCTAGGTCATCCAAGACTAAAAATACCTCCTAATAAATTACTAAAACTAGCCAAATTATCTATGATACCTTAAGGCCTATTATCTGGAACTAGAAACTAGGAGAAATAACTAGTGAAACCACTTAGAATGCCTTTAGCACTAATTTCTATTATTCTAACACTTGCAAATAATATAGCAAAGTTCTTTTTTGATTTTTGCAAACCATAGTTTACTAAGGTTTAGCCTATTGATACTCATGCATCCAAATATAATGAGGATAGTGACTTTATTATAAAAAACACTGGAAATGATCAGCAATCAAACCCTCCAAAATTAAAATTAGCCAAAAAGCAGAGTGTAATCAAAAGTGATTTCAATTTAGAAATAGAAGTTGGCATTGCAAAACCAAAATGGCAACATTCCCTTAAAAGGTCAATACAAAGATTAGAGAAACTAACAAAGGATCAATTAAAAGAGAAAATAGGGAATTGGCAGCAAAAAAAAGCCTTACCTTCAACAATTAGTGATCTTATCAACAACTAATCTATTTCATGTCTTGAATCAAGTTTTGTGAACACCAATTGAAATTATAGTTAGGGACTTGCTTGGAGTCTCTAAAGAGCTGTTTTTGCTACTATCAGAGAGTATAAAGTTCAGGGTCACTAATTAGTCTAAGATATCTCAAGATAGATATGAACAAGCTTATGTAAACCTAACCCGGACTATTAGCAAACCTCTTATTAGCATTTTTTTATCCTTTAGTCAATACCAAAACTCAAGCCTAGTATTTCCAATTGTTAACACAGGGTCATAGCTTAATATTATCTTTAAGTTTACAACAAGCTCATATTCCTACTATTTAACAAGAAAGCACATATTAGGATACATGATGCTAATAGTCAAGAAGAAAAACTCATCAGACTTATTAAAGATATCTAGTTGTAGTTCAGAGAAATAACCACTTAGACTAGTCTTTATATTAACAAGAATCTTCTATTCTTGATATTGCTTGAATGTTCCTAGGAGAGAGGTAATTTTGTAGGAATTGATGAGGGAAAGGATAGAACCTATCTACAATTTAAAGATCTAGATAATCTAGATATAGTCTAGTTTGAAGCTAAGGTTGCTGATGCTGAGGGGGGGGGGGGGGGGGGGGGGGGGGGGGAAATAGGAAATAGGAATAAGAAGTGGATCTCTTGGATTAGGCATTGGTTTTCTATTTCTATGAGCTTCTAGATCTACACAGCCTCATTTGGTAATACTTTAGACCTGATGAGGAAGCCAGAAATCAGGTCACTTGACTAGGATCATTCAGAAAGTCATTTATGGAACCTGGGCCAGAGCCAAATTAGTTATTAGGAATATTGGAAAAGGCTTCAGGCTATAGCTAGACTTCTCTAGCTAAGTCAGATATTAGTTATGAGAAGTGTAGAAGAATTACATGCTAATGTTATCTAAAGACATAGTCCTGTCTAGATCTGTCAAAAGATCTTTCAAGAAGATTCTTAAGGAAACTAGAAGATTCTAATAAAAAAGAAGTGCCGAGTTTACTACCTTGCTTAGCATTACCTACTAAGGAAACCCAGTTCTTTGCAGTCTTGTAGAAAAGGAAAGGGAAACCTATAGATAGCATGAGCAAGCTAACTTAGAGACTTGAAGAAATCTTTTTAAGATAGAAGAGAGACATCCAAGGAAAGGGTATAAAAAGGAGGAGGATTGAGCAGAGAAGGGATCTTCAAATCACATTCTCAATGCCTTCTAAGTGTACAAGCTCTAATTTTTATCTAGCCTTCTGGAAACTGATTAAGCAACCTTATTCTCAACTCTCATTGGCTTTTGAGGTCCACTCAGATGCCACCCTTTCTGATATTTGAAAATGGGCTTGGCAAAAAAACATTTAGCTTGATTATGATGGGGAGACCTATAATATTGTCTTGTCCAGCTAGAGAGCCAAGCTTGGATCCAGCTTTGAGCAGGACAAGCGTTTTCATGATCATGTTCTCCTTACTTCCACTCTGGTTTCCTAAATCTCTGGCAGCACTGCTCCTCCTAGTGTAAAGTATGGGGTGTCATTTATTCAAACCTATTGGCTCCTAGTGCCAGGCAGAACCCAAAACATCTCCTACCTGCTTTTTGGTAGCATCACTGAAGGGTGTAATTCTGAAGCTATGGTCCCTAGGCCAGGCAACTAAACTAATCCAGTGCTAGATATACATCATCTTTTTTCCCTTCCTGCTTCACTAGCAACTCTTCTTGACAACTCTAGCACTCTTCTTACTCAATCCCTATTACACCTCTATAACTTCATTGCAACTGCTAATGTGCAGCCTGCACCAGCCCATCTAGATGACCTATAGAAAGCCAGAATCAGCTGAGAGGATTCCCATCCTCTTGACAATGACTACTAACTACTGTCTCCCATCTCTCTACTCTCTTAGCTCCATATTGACAAAATGGACCTATAAGCCTATAATAGTACTTAAGAAGACTTGGATGGCCGAAGAAATAAAGAGGATTAAGCCAGAATGAGAGAGGAAAGAGTTAAGGGAACCCAGGGCACAGGGCATGGCATGCACAATATACAAGTATTTGATGGGGCTCCTGCCATTAATATGTATAAAGCCAATAGTCACAGAGGCAGTAAAAATTAACTGGAAAAGTAGTAGAGTGAGAACAATGCTATAGATATTGATGGGGAGCCCCTATGAGATATATAGGGCAGTGCAGACATAGTATGGCTCAACGCTAACTATTCCAGCATAGACTATTCATTATCAAAGGGCTTGGTAGACAAGTAGCCATCCAAGCAAATCTATGGAACCTTTTTTTCAACCCTTTTCCCCTTTAGAATATGAACATCCCCCCACAACACTATTTGTCGGGCAAACCGAATGCATATACAGCCTGCTATAGACAATTCAAACCCAAGGGACTCTCTTCCAAAACTCGAGTGCCCAGGTTCATGCACCTTGTCCAACAACACTGGCAGTGGCCAATAATCCATGAATATACCACCCATACCTATTTCCATTAGTTATGTAGTTGTGTGCATCATATAGGTGCACATAGATATTAGAAATGCAACCCAGGCAGGAGTGGATAGCCTTGTAGATCTTACAGCAGCTATTTGTGCTCATACTGCCACTGCCAATGCCTTTTATGGGCCTGGGGCCTCAATGAAAGCTCTGGGGCCTTACACCATCCACACTCATATATCAACCACCCTCATACCCTCTACTGCATTACTAATGGGTGAGCCATTAAAATACTAACTATCTCTACTCCCACAATATGTTCCACCACTAGCCTTGTTCCTAGTCAATAATATATTGAGCGCAGTGACAACGAAGCGACTGGCACAGAGAGAGTGCCCAAAAGAAGCTCTATAACAACAGGACTGTGGTCCAGAGGGTAAGAGTCTGAGGAAAGAATCGCCCTCGGACCACGGGTATTCAAGCTACACAGAACAATAAGAAACGAAATAGGAAGGTATGACATCAACAGGTCATTACATGTGAAACATTTTACAAAGCGGTCAAAAGCTCCACCTGGAGGTCGGTCCGGAGTGTCAATGACATCACACCGGACCGCCTCAGCCGGCTAACCCGGTGAAACAACTGAAACAAGGTGAGACAAGGTGAAAACAAGGTGAGACAGTCCAAATGGAGAAAGAAAGCAATATACCTGCTCTGGGAACGGCTGTAGGGCCGCTCCCAGCTGTAGAGGCGAGTAATCAATGAGTCCCAAAGGTGGCACCCATGTGGCATGGATGCTACACCAACCAGAACGGCCACAAACAACACACCCTCCTGATTGCACGCCTTTACAGCGTCCAAAACACCCTCCTAATGCGGCAGATCCTCTAGTCCCATCAAACTGCAGCAAATCTTCACCTTCTCAGGTGGAACAGCCTTCGTCAGGATGTCTGCAGCGTTGTCCGCAGTAGGAACGTAGGCTGGCACAATCACACCAGCCTCTACCTGGTCCCTGAGCCAAAAGAAACGAAGATCAAGATGCTTCATGCGCCCATGGTGCTCTGGATTCTTGCTAACTGCAACAGCCGACTGGTTATCGACACGGAGAATTGATGGCTCAGGCAGGGAGTAGCCAAGCTCAGTCAGCAAATTCCGCATCCAGACGATCTCCCGGCCCGCATCGACAGCAGCAATGAATTCGGCCTCTGTCGTCGACTGTGCAACGAGTCCCTGAAGCTTGGAGCTCCAGCTGATCGCTCCAGAGCCAATGCGCAACACATATCCACTCGTGGACCGTCCGTTGTCTGGGTTGCCTGCATGATCAGCATCACAGAACGAGGTGAAGAGCTCCTTGGAGTTGGTGGGACCATAGACGAGTCAATAATCCAGGGTGCCTCTCAGATAGCGAAACAGATGCTTCACAGCCTTCCAGTGCGCAATCCCAGGATTCGAGTTGAAATGGCATAGGACAGAGACCGTGTGGGCGATGTCAGGACGAGTGGCGAGTGCAAGGAACAGCAGGGAACCGATAGCAGAGATGTAGGGAACCTTCTTCATGTACTCCTTGTCCTCAGTCGATACAGGAGCCATGGAGACAGAGAGATTGGTGCCAGGGACCATGGGAGTCTTCACAGGGGTCGAGTCGGCCTGTCCATAACGCTCCAGCATGTCTAGGATGTATTGGCGCTGGGAGAGCATCAGGCGACGATTGGGGCGATCCCTGGCAATCTCTATACTAAGAAGAGCGGTAGTGGGCCCCAAATCGCGAAGCTTGAACGACCTAGAGAGCTCAACGACAAGATCATCGAGCAGGGACAAGGAATTCGATGCAAAAGTGCAGTCATCCACAAAGACAGGCAGAATGGCCTTGACCTGATCCTTGGTGTAGACATAGATGCTGTTGTCAGAGTAGATCGCCTTGAATCCCATGCGCTCCAGTACCGCCTTGAGCTTCTTGTACCACAGCCGACTCGCCTGCTTCAACCCATACAAGCCCTTCATCAAGCGATAGACCATCTCAGGACCTCCCTGCTCAAATCCTTCAGGCTGCTCCATGTAGACCACAGTGTCCAGATCGCCATTGATGAACGCATGGGAGATGTCGACAGAGCGCAGGTGAAAGTCCTCGAGGGCAGAGAGAGCAAGGATGGCGCGAATGGCTGCAAACTTGGCTGTGGGGGCGAATGTCTCGAAGTAATCAAACCCAGGGCGCTGACTGAAGCCCTTGGCGACGAGACGAGCCTTGTAGCGCTCGACAGAGCCATCCGTGTTGTGCTTCACCTTGAAAACCCAACGAGAACCAATTGCCTTGCAGCCCTCAGGGAGTGGAACAATGTCCCAGGTGTGATTCTGAGCATGAGCCTCCATCTCTTCCTCTGCCGCCTTCTGCCACTCATCTGCATCAGGGCGCTTCATTGCCTGACGATATGTCGAGGGCTCAGCCTTTTCAGCACCAGAGGTGAATAGGGCACACTCGACTTCAGCCAGAAATGTGTCCTCAACAATGGGTTCCATCTCTGCCTCTCCAGAAGCATTAGGGGCGTCCTCAGCAGTGTCCGAATGAGCATCATTGTCTGCAGACAGTGTCCTAACCTTCCACCATTCCCCAGGAGCGCGACGAGCGCGAGAGGAGCGTCGAGTCACAGATGGACCTGGTTCAGGGGTGGCAGAGCGATTCCTAGAGCGTGTTCTGAGAGCAGGAGGTGGCGCTGGAGTGACAGGAGGGGGAGCATCAGGAGGGACAATGGCAGGAGCAAGAGGTGGAGGAGGTGCTGGGTCTGCCACAGGATGATCCTGATCGATGGGAGCATCTTCGAGATGACCAGCAGGAGGAGGAGCATCTGCTTCCCCCCCCAGAACCGGCACCGGATCCACATCTGCATCCCAAAGACTGAACAGAGACGAAGGAGGAGGGGTGGCAGACTGGGTGTTAGCATCAAAGTTGCGAGTGCCAGGAAAGAATTGCTCATCAAAGTCTGCCCTTTCCGAAATGATGACCTTCTGAGTCACAGGATTGTAGAACTTCCACGCCTTGTAGCCATCAGGATACCCAATAAACACGCACTTCTCCATATGCGATCTAAATCCATCCCTTTTGTCCCTCTGCATATGCACATAAGCCAGGCAGCCCCAGACCCGCAAGTGCGAAACGTCCGGCTTCTTCCCATGGACCATCTCAAATGGTGTCTTGCCCTTCAGGGTGGACGTCCAGAGTCGATTCCAGACGTGCACATAAGCGGCCAGAGCCTCGCCCCAGAAAGCAAGCGGCAAATGCGATTCAGAGAGCATGGCAGTGAGGGCCTCCATGATAGTGCGATTGGCACGCTCTGCCACGCCGTTCTGCTGTGGCCGATTGCGCGCTGTGTGCCTCCTAGCGATCCCATGCTCCAAACAAAACGAGTCCCAGGCATTGGACATGTACTCTCCTCCCTTGTCATCTTGCAGAGCCAAAATGCGCTGTCCAGTCAGGTTCTCCACATAGGCCTTGTAGCGCTTGAAAGCCTCAAACGCGTCGCTCTTCAAGCGCAGGACATAGACCACCTTGAGCTTGGTGAACTCATCAATGAAGGTGATCCAGTAGCGCATTCCAGAGTGAGTGGCAGCAGGGAGAGGACCATGGAGATCAGAGTGGACGAGTTCAAGCGGTTTGGAGGTCACAGAGCCAGTGGAGGGGAAGGGGTGAGCGTGCATCTTGCCAGAGAGACAGGGCTCGCACACAGGGTCAGGCTGCACGTCCGAATCGAGCTGTAGACCAGTAACGAGACGTTCCTTGACCATCTTCTGCACTCCAGCATGGTGGTGATGGCAGAGACGACGATGCCATAGGGACAAGTCAAGAGGGAGAGTAGAAGCGGCACCAGCAGACTGCAAAACAACGGTGGAGGTGGTTCCTTGAAGATATGCGTTGTTGGAACCATCAGGAACGATCGCCATGAACCACACTGCCCCGTCCCGAGAGAAATGCATCGAGGATCCTTCTATTAGCACAGAAAAGTGCTTGTGCTGAGTCAAATACAGCACAGACCTGTGTCCGCATTCCAATCGAGGTCAGTGACGAGTGAGGGGGCTGTGGATGAAGGGGATGGAGCAGGGGAACGAAAACTTGCATTGCCTGCAAACTGCATGGGACCAGAGGCTTCAGGGGCCTGAACCGAGTGGGCCTGCTGTGGCTTGGACTTCTTCAGCTCCTCAATGATCCTCTTGAGGCACCTGTCATCAGTGTGGCCAGTGGCACCGCAAAATCCGCACTTGTACTGCTTCCTGGGTGGCCTAGAACGTCTGTAGGAGGTGGAGGAAGAGGAGGGAGATGAAGGAAAGGATGCCACAAGGGCCTGTGCAGAGTCTGTGGGATCAGAACGACGGGCACGGTTCAAATCCTCGCGCCTGAACGCGTCCTCGAGCTTAGAGCGAGACAAGACGTCTATGAGACTGAGGGAGGAGCGGAAGGTGTCAAACTCGGAGGGGAGAGACCACAAGAGGGCCATGCAAGTGAGCTCCTCGTCCTGCTTCTTGAGATCGAAGCCAGAGTCGCGGAGATTCTTCAGGACGCGCATAGACTCGTCTACACGATGAATGAGGGACTGGAGGGACTCATCGTTGCGCTTCTTGATCGAAAAGAGGTCCTCCATCGCGTTGAAACGCGATCCAGCAGACTTCTTATTGAACTGCTCCTCTAGTTTGGTCCAAATGGCAATGGGGTCGTCCTCAATGCCATCCAAGACGCCTCTGAACTGCTCTTCAACTGAAAATAAGAGCGCACCAGCAGCCTTCTGAGCATTCCTCTTCCACTCTGCCACCTCCCTTGGGTCAGCAGGCTTCTCCTTCGTGCCAACAGGGGCTGTCTCATCACCAGAGACCAGAAGCCACAGGCCTTTGAGACGAAGCCAGGCCTTGATCTCCTTAGACCAGGAAGGATAGTTGCGATTATTGAGAGGGGAGACGGAAGGGAGAGCGAATGAGGGGTCAGACATGGTGTGGGACGAGTGGCACGAGCAGGAAATGGTGTTGGAAGCGATGTGGGACAATGGGAAAGGCAGGGAAAGCAATGGGGAGGATGTGGCAGCAAAGAGGTGTGGCTAGAAAGGAGTGGCACAGCAGATGGGAGACCAGAAAGTGTGGATAAAACGATGTAGAGCAAAGTCGCTAGAGCGCAGGGCCCATAACCTGTTGAACGCAGTGACAAAGAAGCGACTGGCACAGAGAGAGTGCCAAAAAGAAGCCCATAACGACAGGACTGTGGTCCAGAGGGTAAGAGTCTGAGGAAAGAATCGCCCTCGGACCACGGGTATTCAAGCTACACAGAACAATAAGAAACAAAATAGGAAGGTATGACATCAACAGGTCATTACATGTGAAACATTTTACAAAGCGGTCAAAAGCTCCACCTGGAGCTCGGTCCGGAGTGTCAATGACATCACACAGGACCGCCTCAGCCGGCTAACCCGGTGAAACAACTGAAACAAGGTGAGACAAGGTGAAAACAAAGTGAGACAGTCCAAACAGAGAAAGAAAGCAATATACCCGCTCTGGGAACGGCTGTAGGGCCGCTCCCAGCTGTAGAGGCGAGTAATTAATGAGTCCCAAAGGTGGCACCCATGTGGCATGGATGCTACACCAACCAGAACGGCCACAAACAACAGTAAAGCCCTCTGTGCATGCCATACAAAAGCCCTTTCTTCTTTTAGGATCCCCAATGCTCTTTGTATCTCTGGTCGGATGGGTCCCGATATGAACTCTGTGCTTGGCGATCCTTCTATAAGTCCCATGAGGTATGCGATGGGGGTGGTCAAGTACAACTCTCTATCAGGAAAGATGACTCCCTCATTTTTTTCTTGAACCAAGGGTGGAGGGGAAGGTGAGTGAGAAGGTGAGGTTATAGGTGGTGTAGTCCTTTCTATCACCTGCAGAGGAGAAGGAGAGTGAGGGGATATAGGTACGTGGCATGCTGCTCTTTCTGCTGCTCTTTCTTCTTCCCACTGCTTCTGTCTTTTATCTTGTTTGGCTTGTAACCTCCTGTTTTCTTCCTCCATGGTATGTGTACCATACATTCCTGCATGATCATATATTTCTGCTATTTGTTCATCAGTCAAGGACAGTTCAGGAGATGAGGTAGTCTTTATTGACTCATCGACAAGAGTATTGTCAACAGAGGTGATAGAAAGGGTTTTGTTCTGAGACATGTGCAAGATGAGGAAGATTGTTATGAGTAGAATAGGGTTGTCGAAGTGATGAGGGGACAGGGAGGATTGAGTTAAAGTTTTTATACATTTCTAGGCTTGTTTGTCCGATATTTGCAAGAGCTGTCTTTAGGGGTATGCTTTTAGGGTGCCATATATTGTAAGCTTCCACAAGTTCTTTGGCATTCCTCAGGTTTGTCCTTGTAATCCATTTATTTGAAGAGTCTAGATATCCTTTCCAGCATACCAGGTACTGGTATCTGTATTCTCGTTTTCTTCCATTAAGAATTTCTTTGACTTTGTATTCTTCTTGTCCTTTTATGAGGTCAGGTGGTTGTTCGTAATTAGGACCGTGAGTGGTTGTTTCTCGATATGGTGTAATTAGGGAGGCATAGAACACGGGATGTATTTTCTATATGGGTGGAAGTTTCAGCTTGTATGTTATTGGCCCTAGTCTTTCCTCTATTTCGAATGGTCCATGTAGTTTAGGGGCTAGTTTATTTTTCAGGTGTGTGGTGGTTATATTTTTTCCCGAGAGCCAAACTTTTGGCCCTGCTTCTAGTTTGACTTTGTTCTCAATAGTTTTCCTTTTTATCAATTTTGCCGCTACTTCTAGGCTGGCTTTAGTTTCCTTTCATAACTGTTCCAGCTTTTCTAGTCTTTGTTTTATTTGAGGAATTTCAGACTTTGGAGTTATTTGTGGTGTGAAGGTTGGGTTGTAGCTATACATGAGTTTGAATGGGGATTGGTGTGTGGCCAAGTGTTCCCTAACATTGTGTGCAAACTCTGCATATGGTAGGAGTTCAGGCCAGTTTGTCTGTTTGTAGTTGCAGAATGCTTGGAGGTATTGTTCTAATTCTTGATTTACCCTTCTAGTTTCTCCATTAGTTTCTGGATGATATGCTGTGAACAAGGCCATCATTACTTATAGTTTCTTCCAGAGTTTTTTAGTAAATCTAGCAGCAAACTACAGACCTCGGTCTGAGATAATCTTCCTTGGAAGTCCATATTGTTTCCATATGTTTTTCATGTAGACAGCAGCTGTTTCTTCTGCATCTATGGTTTTTGCACATGAGGTGTAGATGATTCCCTTGGTGCTTCTATCTACGGTTGTGTGTATTGCATCATACGGTCCAACCTGCAGAAGATCTATGATGAAGTCTGTTGTGACCACATGCCAGGGTCCTTCCAGTATTTTATTTGGAATTAGCAGGACATGTGTAGGGTGTGTGATATTCTTGGTGTTTTAGCATGTGGCACATCCTGTTATATATTTTTTTACAAATGTTGATATTCCAGGCCATCAGAAGTTGTTGGATACTAGAACATATGTCTTCTATTATCCTGGATGTCTAGTTGCAAGTGAGTCATGATACATTTTTACTATTTTCTGCTTTAGTTCATTATTTGGTGGAACATATATTTTGCCTCTATGCTAGATGAGGTCATCTTCTGGATTCTATTCTTGTAGTCCTTTGGAGAGTGTTCTTGGTCCTGCCACTTTAATGACTTCTATTGCTTCCATTGCTTCTTTGTCTTTTGCCATAACATTTTTCAGTTCTTGTCTGAGTTGCCTGTTTAGCGTTTTGGCAGTGCCTTTTCCTGTTGCACTTTTGATGAATAGTTGGGGTTTTAGTAGTATCTGGTTTTCATTATCTAATTTCACCCCCTTCTTTAGGTCTGGATGCTGGGACAGAGCATCTGGACATTGAAAAGCACCGGGTTTATGTACCAGTATGAAGTCAAAGCATAATAGGAAGAGCATCTAGCGTGCTTGGCAGTGGGAGAGGGTTTGGGCCATAGAGAAATAAAAAAGGTTCTTATGGTCCAATCATATTTCAAATGGGTATCTCGCACCTTCGAGGTAAATGCACCAGTGGTCTAGGGCATGTATAACAGCTAGTAGCTCCTTATCAAAAATGTTGTAGTTCCGTTCCACTGTATTAAACAATTTCGATAAGTAAGCTACCGGGTGCCAGCCATCGCCTAGGACTTTCTGTGACAAAATGGCACCGGATGCAAAGTTGAAAGTGTCAGTTTCAAGTTGAAATGATTGGTTTCTATTGGGATAAATTAGTACTGGTATCGATGGAAAACAAAGTTTGAGGGTTTTGAATGCTGTGTTGCATTCTTTTATCCATACAAATGGGGTGTCCTTCTTTGTGAGGTTGTTTAGGGGTCATGCTATTGTGGCAAAGTCTAGAATGAATCTCTGGTAAAAGTTTCCGAAACCTAAGAAGAATTATACTTCTTTTGACTTGTCAGAGTTGGCCATTTGGAAATTCCTTCAACTTTGACTAGGTCCATGGCTATGCTATCCATGGAGATGATAAAGCCAAGATACTTGACTATGTCTACTTCAAATGTGCACTTGGAGGGCTTCAGGAATACGTTATTGTCCAAAAGTATCTGTATGACTTGGATTATCACTCATCAGTGTTCTTCCACTGTTTTGGTGAATATGAGGATATCATCCATGTATACTGTCATGACTTATACAATAATAAGGTCATGAAAGAAGATATTCATCATGGTCTGGAATGTCGCCAGAGAGTTGCAAAGACTGAAAAATATGACGAGGCATTCAAAGAGTCCAAATTTGGTTAGAAATGCTGTTTTCCATTCATCTCCTTCTGCGGTTCGGATGTTATTGTATCCCCATTTGACATTAAACTTTGAAAATACCCTTGTTCCTGATTTTACGATAGTTATGATTACATCATTAATCAGGGGTAAGAGGTATTTGTTCTTTATTGTTTATTAATTTAGCTTTCTGTAATTTTACTGGTCCGAGATCTCCCTCTTTCTTTTTTACAAAGAAGAACAGAGAAGCTTGTGGAGATTTAGACACCTTTATGGTTTCTCGCTCTAGGTGTTCTTGTAATATCTCATATAGCTTATCTTCTTTTTGTTCTGTTAAAGGGTATAGTTTGCACCCACTTGGTTCCCATCCCAGTTTCATGTCGGTCTTGTGATCCCATCGTGAGTGTTTAGGGAGCCGTTGTAAGGCTTCTTGGCTGAAAACTTTACCAAATTGTTTGAGGATATACGTGGGGACTATTTCTTCTATTGTACATTCATCATTTTTTTTGTTTGCTGCTTCTGCTAGTTCTTGTAACTTTCTATAAGAGGATCTGATATGGATGGCTTTGAGTGGGTGTATTTTAAATAAGTCTTTGTTATACCATTCTTCATAAAACTTAGAGAAGAAGCTTTCATCTTCTTATTCTTCTTTTGGTTCATCTTTTATTTTTGAATATCTGATGGTTTTCATACTTTTCTGCCAAGGAAGGATTTGTGCTTGTATGGTGAATTTGTGTCTGCTGACTAGGCACATTATTGTGCATGAGGAGAATGTGAGGCAATTTTTTACCCAATTGATCCGTGGGTTGTGCTTGTATAGCCAGTCCATTCCTAGAATGACATATTCTCCTCCTAGGTTGGCAACTAAGAGTTTGCATTGTTTGTCATGGTAATCTCCTTCATTATTTGTCATTCTCATTAGTAAGCATGCTTTGTCCATGATTTTTCCTCCTTTGTTTGGGATACCGTCCATGTTAAATACTAGGATAAACCTGCTAATTTTTTGAAGTGGTATTTTTTGTTTTTGGCAGAATCATTTATTGATGAGGAGTCCCCTCTGCTCCTAAATCGATTAATACCTTCGCTTTGGTGGTTCCTCTTCTATGCTTTAGTTGTATGTTTATTCACATAAATGATTTTTGATTGGATTTGGTGAGTCATACAACTATTTTTACATAGGGGTTCTAGTCAGGCCTATAGTATACTGAGAATATAGGCCAATTTAAAAATCTGTGTCCAATTCTTTCCACCTACTTCCTTCACTCAATTCTTGGAGGAGCGCCTCCTGTTTGTCCCACTTTATTCTCCCTATAAGCATCTGGACCTCTTCTTGGCTAATCTCAGGCTCCTTCTGACATACAAGTGCATTCTCTCTAGATGCGTAGGCTTGGCACGCTGCAAGTCTAGCCTGAAATGGGTTAGTCATTGCCATGCTTCTACCTTTATTCAGAGTTGCTGTCTCACCACTGTTCTGAGCTTTTGCCAGGAGTGCTCTGTCATAGCCTCTTCCTCTGCCGGCCAATGCTTTGCTAGCTTGAGCTGGGCGGTTCCCTATTTTTCTACCACTCAGTTGAACATGTTTAGTTCCCCCTTCATATACCCTAGACAAAACCCTAGCCGAGCATTGGCTTGCTATGTGTCCTTTCTGATGGCAGTAAAAATACCCACCCTCTGCATATAGTCTGGTGCATTTGTCATCAAATAGCAGGGTGCAGACAGCATCTATGGCCATGGGTATAACTGAGTTGTTCATAGAGGCAGGGGCATTGGAAGAGTCGTATCAAAAGGGGTTGTTACAACAGGGTACAGTGGTAGGGACCAAGCTTTTTATGCTCTGGAGTTCCCTTCATTGATTGTCAAATCTCCTGGTATATTTTGTCCAATTATTCACAGTGATCAGCATTTTTGGCAGTCTGTAGATTTGTTTGAGGATTTCTGGGTGTATGGCTCAGCAAAAGTAGTTGACTGTGGATTCCAGGTTAAATCCACTTTCCCTAGCCATCATGAGATAGTCTGTGACAAATTCATCTGCTGAGCATTTTCCCATCCTCATGGCGAACAGTTTCTGTTGTGCCTTCTGTTCCAGACTTTCATCTTTAAATGTGTTGGCTAGTTCCTTTAGGAATTCCTTGAATGTTCCCTATTTCAGCTTGGTCTCCGTGGCCTTGTATTCCCAAAGTTCTCTGTCAAAATAGTATTTTTGGGTGAATAATGGGGCTGTTCTTTCTCTTATATACGATAGCACCATCAGGATTTTGTCCATGTCTGATGTGTACTTCATTGGGTTGGCCAGGATGTACATGTAACATTTGTAAATCCATTCTTGGTATTTCAACCTGGTTCCATCGAAGTCTTTTGGCTTATTTCCTTTGTCCGACATTTCATTATTTGCATTTGTCACTTCTGCACTTGGTGTTGGATCCGGATTTGGGTTTGGATGTCTTAGGTTGCTTGGTCCTGGCGTGGGTTCCAGATCTTCTTTGTCTACAGGGGTTAATACTCCTGCTGGAATGACTTCTTCTTTGATATTTTCTTTAGGGATGTCAGCTAGTGTGTTTTCTTTGGGAATATCAATTAGGGTTAAAGTAGGTTTAGTTTGGAGTAGTGATTGTTCTGAGGGGTGCCTTCCTATCTTCCCAAGCTACCATGGGTTTTCAGTTGTCTGGTCCACCTACGTAAACCCAGATTCCTTTCAAGTTCCTTCTGATAGTTTGTCCAAGGTAAATAAACGAGTCCATGTGTTCCAAGTAGTCAGTTCCATATGGAACTCACCCTACTTCTCTTCCTTTTCCTTTGGAAGTCATGATAATTCGATCAAGAGAGCCCACACTAGCCTCAACCTGATCAAGGTTTGAGGATCAAGGCAACAGCAGCTCTTTCTGGCCAGGTATTATAAGGTATCGTACAGTAAATAATGTCAAGTGCAATTGTTTTGGTTGTACCTTCACTGGGTTGACTACCAGATAGGGATATTCTACAACCTAAAGCAACCCACACTGAAGTGGAATCGCCCTAATGTCCACTATATATCTAGGGTATAGGATCATAAAAAAAAGGTTGAAAATAATTCATAAGCTTATCTAGCCACTCAAAAGAGAATTTCCATAATCTTATAATACATTTCAATATTCTTGTTCTTGATTTTGTAAAGGATTACTATATAGGTATGGTATTATACATGATAAGCTAGTTTGCTAAATAGAATAGAGATTTGATGGGTATTTTCCATTAATTTCACATAGGCCCATATCTTAAAAGTCAGCAAAAATATTAAGATGTTATAAAAAGAAAAAGGCAAAAAATGAGGATCTAATGCATTACTATTGCTACAAGAGCTATTACTAATAGTGTTAACTTGTTTTCTTCTCATCTAGGCCCCTTGTTAATACTTGAGGTATATCTTATATAATTAGACTGTATCACTAATCTTAAGCCAAAGAATAAATTGTGTAAGATCCAAACAATTATTCTATTATAAAATAGCTTTTTCCTAATAGGTCTTCTATGCTACATAGCAAGAAATAATAAGATTGTGTTTAATAATTTGACTACTATAGTATACCTTATATAATAACAGATCATTATAGTTTTGTTAACAAACATTGGATTAGTCTTTTTGATAACTTGTGATATTCTTAATTTGCCAAGATTCAAGATTTAAATTGCTTGTTCTTTTTTTAGAGCTTTATAAAATTGGAAAATACTATTCTTTTGCTAGTGAAAACTATAAGTAAATAATACAGACTTATTTCTGTATATATAACTATTACAGTCAAGGTATTGACATAATTAATGTTAGGCCTTAAACAGTTTCAAATAAACTCATATCTCAAAAAAGACATAGTATTGAGATGTAAATATCTTAGTAATCTTAAAAGACTATTTTTATCATTTAGAAACCTATTTATTTAGTATAAGATTAGGAGTGTCTAATAAAAGCTTGCCTCAATGAGTAGCTTACAGATATGGGGCATTTATATGCTAATATTGGTAAGACTGCCCTATGTAGACATAATAAGCTTTATATATTTAGGCCACAAATTAGGATTATTCTTATTCTTGTTATTGGTATTTAATAGAACATATGTGAAAACATGCTTATTGTTAGCCTAAAATTTATCTGTTATTTAGAAATGAAGGTTAGGATTTAGACAAGCAAAAAAAGCTAGAGTTAGAGTCAAACCTTTGGAGAAAGATAACATTCAATGCTTAAGCTTGAAAATATACTTGTTGCTGCTGTTTTATTTATATATTTATTGCATAACTTATTAGGGATTTATAGACAATGGCCTAGATTTAAATTCAATAAAGAATCCTACTAAGATTAAGGTTCAGGGATATAATAGTTAGCTATATTCTAAAGAATATTCTAAATATTTTGAGAGTACTTATCAGAAAGGTCATGTTATCTGGTAGAATAACATATTACTGGATGAACAAGGCAGTATTAAATATAAGTATATGATGTATAAGAATACAATGATAGTTAGCAAGAGAATATTATATAGCAAGAAGGGCAATGTTAGACAATGCAATATAAAACAAAATTATGCATGCTAAGCAATCTAGGATATCAAGATACTAGCAGTAAACTATGGAGAGTCTTATAACAGTCTAAATAAACTTTGCTCAAGGAGATCTTGTTCTACCAAGCTAATTTACAAAGTATTTATTTTTGTAGAAAACCTAAAGGCCTAATCATAAAATAGTGAGTTAATGCAAAAAAAGAAGGGTACAAGAACCTATAAGAATATATGTTGAACTCCATAGAAAATGTGTCCTTTGACAATAACATTGAGCCTAAAACAATTAGTACTATTTGTGGTGTATAATATAGAAATTCCACTTGGTTGTGAAGATTGTAAAGAATGCAGCTAAGCTTAATAATGGTAAACTGCTTGCAAAAAGCATAGTTGTTATAGTGATTATACTTAAGAGTAAAACTTTTAAGATTAATATGCATCTTATGCAAAATTATAGACTTATAGCACCCACAAGTAAAAAAGACACAGCCTTTTAAAACACATGATTCTAAAAGCACTAGTTTAGGAGTTGTGTTATCATAGGTAAATGGTAAGACAAAAAAAACATATGTAGTATACTGTAAATCATGAGGGAAAGGATGAAGAGCAGGCCTTTTAGTAGAGATACAAGGAACTACACCAAATAAGCACCACACACATATTTGATGGTCAGAAGTCACAAATAATATGCTAGGGTATTTGTGATAAGCACAACATAGATCATTTAATGTCTTCTGCCATACTAAATTAATTCTAGTACTAATACTAAAATAAGCTAGTAAAAGGAGAATAAGAAAGACAAGATAGAAATATATAAGAATATAGACAAAAGGGTAAAAAGGCATATAAAAATGTACATAATTCACTATATTACCTCAATTAAGTAGTTAGAGATCTAGTCTAATAAAATGGCACCCTTGAATATATAGCAGATTGATATAAGAAATAGATTAGATATATAAAACTTATAGATGGCTAAAGAGAGGGGTTATACAAACTATTGCCAATTCTACCCTATACAATATCCAAAAAAGTGCTTGATTTTAAATAGCAATAATCTATATATATAGCAGAGTTAATATAGAGAAGATAGATTAATACTACTATAAATAATTGCCAAATAATCTGTATAAAACCTTTTTTAGGCTGCTTATCCCTTATCTATGCCTACTATAAACCTTGCTACCATAGTCCATTATTATTTTAACCTTATTCTACTAAGCTATATTCTAACTTTATTTTAGAGTTAGACTAGGCCTTATTTTATCATACTATATTCCAAGTATTCCAAGCAACTCAAAAAGCTATGTGTTAAGGGGGCTGATTACTATTGCCCCAATAAGCCTGACTACTACTAATACTATAGCAAGGTAATAGTATTTCTGCAACTTAACTATACTATAGACAATACAGGCCAATAGTATGTTGTTGTAAGTCTAAAAAAGTCTATATATAATGTTATATGCTTACCTTTTGCTACTAGTGCCCTTTGTGCCTATAATACTTGTTTTTTAAGCAAGAGCCCCTACTACCAACTTAACAGGTATATACTAATGCTATAAGAGTAGACAATAACTAAAAGGTCATTGAATGGAAAATTCCCATTCATGCTGAAGCAAGATTGATGAACCAGGTTTATTAATTCTTGGAAATAGATAATAAATTTATAGACTTACTATGATATAGCAAATAAGCGATGCTAGTATTTATTAATACTGCCTAGTAAAGAAAGAGTCCAAAGATAAGACAGATAACCTCAAAGCAGATTCTTCCAATCAGGTAAGTAATGTTCATGAGCTCTCAAGCTCACTATTACTTATCAATATATTAATAATATCCAGGAATATACTAAAAAGATTAAAAAATTGGCCTATATTAATAGAGACAACACTGTCCTTAATATTGTCATAACCAGAATATAGTGGATTATTAGAATTGCAGGCACTATATACCTAGCTTTACCACTGAAGGAGATTCTTATACTTGTACTGCAAATGAAGTAGAACAAGATACAAGTGCATATAAGAAAAAACAACAATAGGCCAGCTAAGATGATTAATTTGATAGGGAACAATATATAGACTAAGAACATGTTAAACAGAGTATAGATTATCTATTCTCAAATATAAATGATAATATGCTTTCTCTTTGAATAATTAAGTATAAAATACTAGCATAGACTAAGAATATAAAACAGTCTAAGCTAAGGCATAAAGTGTTATGAACTGCTCATTTAGTAACCTTAAGAATAGGAGGTTTTTCTCTAGGTTGCTTAAGAAGGAAGAGTAGAACAATGGTCTCAACTGTATATATAGCATAGGAGCCAGATGTGTATTGCAGTGTAGGCAATAGAATAAAATTGGGCAGTATGAAGACTACCCAAGTACAAAGACTGTGGTTTGAAGACCATAGTAAAACAAAGAGAATAGACTGAAGAATATTAGCCTATTCTATGGGCCTTTTATACTACTTTAGGAAAGGGTGTAAGAATCCTATATATGTATACCATAGGTATTTTCTAAGTTGTTACTCTCCAAGAACGACTACTCTTGCTTCTTTACTTGTCTCTTTCTGACCAGGAGAACAAGCAGCTCTATGCCTATGTGTGAGTAGTATGTGAGGCAGGAAAGAATGCTTATTGCAATAGGCTTGTGATATTTGACCAGTTACAGATGGTTCACTGGGAGTGGATAACCAAAAATATTATCTGTACCTCAATATATGCCTCAGGATATAAGGCCACCTAGTAGTTGTGATGATTGTATCAGAATAAACCACTATAAAGGCCCAATAAGTCGTAATCATAACAATACCCTTTTTTTATGTTCTATTTGCCTGGTAGAACAATGCCATGTGCTTTATCACCATTCCATATATAATTTGCTTTCGTGATCCAACAATGTATCGACTGAATGTGTCTTCTAGGATATGACTGCATTTCTTGGGAGGAAGACTGACTTACATCATTTGATCCTCTAGGAGTTTTCCATCTCTATTAAGCTGTTTGTTTGTCAATTGTTGGGGCATTCCAAACCCCTCATCCGTGGGATGTTCTTCCTTCATCTATCAATTTGTTTTGCTACTGGTCCCTGCCTAGTAGTCTTACCCTAGTTTGTGCTAGAATAGTATCAAGAAAGGCGTATGAATGTGAATGGTGGATAAATGAGTCGAAACTCAAGCTTATAGGTTCCAGTTATGTCATTAATTTCTTCTTCTTTTTTTCCAAGGGCCAAACCTTAGTGTTTTTATGATAGTCATCTATTCCATGATTATTGTTTCCTCTTGATGACAAGTAGCATCCATGAACAAGTAGGTTAATCACTTTACAAAGGCTTAGGCCTACTTTTCCAGACTACCACTATATTGTCCCAAGCAGTATTGCTCCCATACGGTGAGCTCATCTCTAGTTGAGGTCCTAGCCAATCCCAAGCAGTATTGCTCCTATATGGCGAGCTCATCACTGGTGAGGTAGTTTTAGTGTCCAAAGTTTGTTTGTCACAAACATGGGCCTATGGTGAAGAATACTATATATAGTGTTGGGTTCAAGGCAAGGATGTGAAGAGAATCAGACTCAAAGGGCACAGTAAGGAGAAAAGAAGAGTCTGACTCCTTTTCCAAGACTGCCTGTTTGTGTGCACAAATAGCCATTAAGACCATAACTGATTTATTTGTCAGGTCTGCAAGATATATCTACAATGGTAATTTAAATGTTATTCTGGACATTTGCTAGTTTTACATCATGGTGGACATCCATAGTTTTAGGTCAATTATGGACCATTAGGGCACCTTATGTTTTGCTGCCTAATAGTTTACATTTAAGGTTGTTTTAGACCTTCTTCATCATCAACATAGAAAGATCTATAAGGGAAGATATTTCTGCATGCTAGATCCTTTGTCAGTAATGTGCATAGGGCCCTAGACCAGACTTTGCCTTCCCAGATTCCACTGAGGCATGATAGGAACAGTTTATGGTATATCAAACCAGATAACTTATAATATTTCAAGATTATAAGACCACTTAGTTTAATACTATGAGGTAGGTGACTGCTATTGTCTGACTGTTATCCTTGAGTCATGATAAATATTACCCTCCAAGGATAAGGGTAGTTTACTGTCATTTCAGATGCTTGATCAACATATTTTTGTCAAAAATAATGTCAATTGACGATCTCTATGGAAAAAAGGAAAAGTAGTTTAACATTGTTATAGATATACTGCGCCTTTGTGATTCAAAGACCTAATACATGGTCCCTGTTTGTGAAGGGACAGTAGTTTATCATCATCTCAGACAAGGTAATATCTCCTATGATTGAGATATCACCACACAATCCCTATACTGAAAAAGACAATAGTTTATTGTCATTGTGGACATATTCTGCTGCAAATATTGCAGCAAAACAATACCTAGTTTAGCATCTTCCTAGACATTATTATCACTGGAGTAATTCCAGCTCCGATACAATCCCTATGGCTAAGGAACAGTAGTTTAATGTTATTTCAGATGCTTGACAGTAGAATAGACTTTTAAGAATGAATGGCTAGTTCTTGTAATACTTCTGCAATGTGAGCCAAAGGGAGTCATGTGATCTAGCCCTTCCTGACTAGATACTTGACTTGAAGCATGTGTCCTAGTTGCCTTCTGACTAGGTCTTAGAGTAGAATTTCTTGTACTTCGACTCCAAGCCTAGACTAGGTGCATCATGAGGAGATGTGTGCTCTTCTACATCCCTAGACTCCTTGCTTGGATTTGAACCAAGATAACCTAGTATTTTTTTACCAAAAAGCGAGTGAATATTGAAGTGCTTTAATTATTTATAGGCAGGGTTCTGCAATGCAGGTCCCCTAAAGACCTGCACTTTACCAGAATGCAACTACACTCTATAGGTTAATAGTAGTTTAACATCATCTCAGATAGGGGTAGTTTACCATTATTCAGATGAGACTAGTTTTATATTGTTGTGGACGCCTAGTAGTTTATAGTCATTGCGGACCAAGCCTTTGGTAGTTTTACACTGTTCCAGATATTATTTGTGGCCTTGCATTGCCATTGGAGGCAAGTGCTTTAGTAGAGGTAGCCCAGACTCCACTACCTCATGCATCAGCAAGTAGGATCCCTAATGAGAAAATGATCCTATAAAACTGGAGATCCAAAGTAGGACATCCAAATACCAGTCAGACCTTGACTGTGAGGGTCACTTTACTGAGTTATGTATCATAATCATCTTGGCCTTGGACTTTGCACTAGTTATGTATGAGCATCTTTGTTGTACCAAGATGAAGATATTAGCTTGTCGACATCTAATACATAGTAGTCATGAAGAGTTCCCTAATGTGGAAAAATACTGTAAAACTGAGGATCCAAATAGGATGCTCAATATATCTGTCAGATTACTCCTTGACAGTAAGAATATAAAAATTCCATATGTATGTCGCTATGTGAAATGTGCCTACTTATGTACCATATTCTACCATCACTAGATCATGGGCTAGTGGTTAGGTACTTCCTCTGCCTTTTTGTCTTTTCACAGTTTGAAGACATGCAGGTCTGACAGTTTAGACATCATTTTGGATATGGGGTAGTTTAATGTCACTTTTGGACAAGGGTGTACAGTTTAATGTCATGAGGGATGAACCTAGTTTTATGTCATTGTGGACAACTAGTTTTAGGTCATTTCAGACCCATCAGCCCTACTGACTATTGTTCTTGAGTAAGGATTTTCTCAACTTCTCTACCTCCCTTTCTTGTCCTGCTAGCATTTATTAATAATCATACCCTTGGTATCCATCTCCTCCTTTGTCAGGTCAGTAATAGGGGTTTGCCTTATTGTAATTTCCAGGATCATCTAAAGTATCCCAGGCATTAAGTTCGGACTGAGTCTAGAAGCAATCTCTTTGAGCCTCTGAATTAGCATGGCAAGCTTGGTGGCTGCTTCAGCTATTTTGTTCCTTATCTATATAACTGTTGTTCTTGGAAGCTGATATCTAATAGATCACACTATAGGTTGGAAGGGAGATTTATCCTATAGATATGAGTGATTAGATCATCTTGGGCTTAGGGCTAACATCAGGAAAAAACTCCATATCAAATTAACCATAGTTAAGCATAAATATAGCTAGATTTTTACCAATTACCATTAAGGATTTTTAGCTTACCTTCCCTCATAAGATCTAATTAGAGCTAATTAAAACTAATTTATTATATGGATTTCCAGAAAAATATCAACCAAACCAGTTCTATAGTTTCTCTACTACTACTACACCTCTAATTATAGAGTATGTATAGAGCTTACTAATCAAACTAAAGTCATACCTTATTACAAACTTGCTTATCACTAAAATTGAACCAATAACCTCATGCCTGCATACCTTGGACTAGTGCTCTGAACCACTAAGTCACAAGGTCTAAGTTAATTTGCCTAGTAACCTAAATATATTGATATAAATAAGACAATCTTAACATTTCTGATTTTCTTATACATTCATCTTTCATCTATTTTATATATAAAGGGGTCAATAAATACCTTAAAAATCAGGGTTTTGATATTTGAATTTAGACACTAGACAATAATATAGTAAAACAATAATAAAATAAAGAATATAATGAAAATAAGATTGTAGCACTTACACTATTATGATCATGCTTATCAGGCCTTTACAGCAGTCTATTCTGATAGGATTATCATAATTACTAGGTGGCCTTGCATTATGAGGTATACACTAAGATATAGGTATTATCCTTAGTTATCCACTACTAGCAGATGCACTTGTCACTAGTTGAGTATTATAGGATATTGCACAGATGGCTGACATGGGCTTATACATATATATCTAGAGGGAACAGAGCTCCTTGTCCTCCTCATTAGAAGGAAACAAGCGTAGAACCAAGAGTAGTTATTCTTAGAGAGTAACAACTTAGAGAATATCTACAGTATACATATACAAGATTCTTATATCCTTCCCAAAGTAGTATAAGAGGCCCATAGAATAGGCTAAGGACCTTTAGTCTATTCTCTTTTATTACCCTATAGTCTTCCTACTGTAGGACACTCTTGGATAGCCCTTGTGCTACTCTTATCTGCAATATCATCTACTTTTGTATTACACATACAGTTGAGACCATCATTCCACTCTTCCTTATCAAGCAACCTAGGAAAGGACCTTTGACTCTTAAGGTTATTAAATGAGCAGTTTATAATATACATAATTTGGATTTGAAATGTGTAAAATTGTAATTGGATTGTATATTCCAATGGGACTATAGTAATATGGACAATATCACCTTTATTTGTGTATTTGATTATAAAGTTGATTATGGATAATATATTCTAATTAGCTCAGATTATTATTTTGAATAATTAGATCTAATTAAAAGAGAAGGTTTTTTCCAGATATAAAGGGATTTATGAGCCATCATATATCCCTATTAAAGGCATATGGATGAGAGACAAGAGTTAGTATCAGAGAGAGCACACTGTTTATAGAGAAGTGCTAATGGATATACTGGGTATTTATAGTAATACAATCTGGTCTATTAGGGCCTCTTTAGCTATTTATTCCTAGTAATAATCATTACAACTATTAGGTGGCTCTAATCATAAAGTGTACATTATGGTATATACTAATATCCTTGGTCATTGACTTCTAGCAAGTTCTATTATTGCTAGTTGAGTATTATAGGATGGATACAGATGGCCAACACAGGCTTATACCAAGGTACTTACAAGCTAAGGATCTTTAGCCTATTCTCTTTATTTATTATAGTTTCTCTACTATAACCCCTTTATTCTTAGGTAGTCTCTATATCATCCATATCCAATACTATTTCTCTTATACCATTATATAGTCAAGACCATCATCCCACTATTTTATATTGTGTAACCTAGAGAAGAACCTACCACTCTTAGGGTTAATAAAAAAGTGGTTTATAACACTATCATAGACTCTTCTTGCCCCTACCTTGCACAAACTCTAAGCCTGCTGCCACATTCTTTCCCATAACCTTCCTTAGTAGGGTTATAAACTCCCTATTAAGAGAGTGTTATTTTATATACCCTAGAGCAAGACCTAGGCCAAAACTATTCTTTTGGCACTAGATAAATCAACAGATAATTCTAACACAATAATTATCCCATTCAATAAGGCACTCTTTGATTTTATATAGATACCAATTTAAATATCCTATCAAACTATAATAACTGTTCATACTAGAATGAGTATCATTTCTTTACCTTTGGTGATAGAACAGAAGAAGATTTCATTTGGAATGAAATAGAGAACTATTGGGACCCACTACCTTAGTACAGAAATCCTAAGCTAGTAATCTCCAATGATTTAAAGCAAGAAGAAGTCACTTTCTATTCAGACTCTAACTCATCATATAATCAAATACTAATCAATACCCAAAATACACACACTATTACCAATATGTTAGGACAAGCCTCAGGAACCACTCTTTCCACTCTTATACAACCTAGAAAAGGAAAGGTTAAACTTCCAGAACATTATATTGGTAATTGAACAGAATCTCAAAAGTTCATACTTTAATGCCTCCTTTTATTCACAGAGGAATCTAATAGGTACAAGTCCAACTTAGACAAAATTTCCCTTATACTCTCATATATAAGGCACAGCATAGTAAGCACATGGGCAGAAAATTTTCTGGCCAAATTTGTAGACACTAAAACTCCCAAGGACCTAGGAGCTTAGACAGATTTCTTGGCCAAATTTAGATTGCAATTTAAGGAATCCAAAAAGATAGACAAAGTATGCAGTACCCTTATGACATTCTCTCAAAGAAGAATGACTGTGGACAAATACTTTAACCAGTTCCTCCTTATAGCTATTAATACCAATATCACCAACAAAGAACAAGTACCTTATTACTAATAAGGGTTAGATCCAAAGGTCATGGATAAAATCTATGATAAAGAAACTCCACCTAATGACACAGATGCCCCTTACATAATAAAAAACCAAGTAGTGGATATAAACATCAATGTAACTAGAAAGTGGAATACTGACTGCTAAAAGCACACATATAATAGCAAGCCACCTAGACCTTGTTATCATTGCAGCAAATAAGGGCCATTGGAATATTGACTGTTTTTCTCTATGTAGAAGCATTCTATTGTCTCAAGGAAGCTTGAGCAAACCTATGGAAAAGGCAAGAAGAAAAAGTCATATAGTTGACCTTAAAAATAAAGATGATACAAGACCCATTATAGGAAACTAAGTGGGAGTATATTAAAGAATGGCAGAGGGAAGTCCTGATCACAATCATCAGTGAGTACCACAATCTGGTCATCTACTAGAACAAGAGGACACTACCTTATCCCAAGGACTCCTATAGCACTATCAATAATGCTACATACCACTTAATAGATAATAAGGTAATGGAACAATCAATCATGGTGCTAGAATCAGAGTGATCATTAAAGAACTAGGAAAGACAGAGCAAAAGGACCTGCTAGTCAAAGTGGCATAGGATTTTACTTAACCTCTCCCTCACCATGAAAAAAGAGAGGTCAAGTGAAATCTGAGTTTGCACCACTATTATGTATTTGTATTGGAGCAATGATTAGTCATATCATTACTCCTATTTGCCTTAATGTGTGTCTATCAACTTGTAAAAAATATGCTAGAGCCAAAGCAACCATTGACTTGGCATATGAAGGAATTCTAGTAAACAAAACATGGATAAAAAGACATAAATTTTCCACATATTTACTTATTCATCTTATATATATCTGAAACATCAATAACATAGTTTAAAAAGCAAGCCTCATACAATTAGGACTAGATACAAATCTTGCAATCTAAGATTACTAAGGATAGGCACATATTAAACATGTCCAAATATTCATCACCAATCTAGAAAAAGATATCATCCTTTTAGAAACAGATTGGCTAAAATGCCACAATCCTTCTGTTATGTGGAAACATTGTGAAGTGCACTTCAATTAGTGTCCCTAAAATTGCCATCAACCCCATAGGTTTACCAAGGCACAGAAAGAATCATCCCACAAGGATTGGTTATCAAGACTGTGTGGCAAAAGCATCTAATAGTAGAACAAACCATGACTTGTACCTTGACCTATAGCAACTCTCCAAGAGTTGACCAAAGAAGAGTGGAGTCAATTATCTTATAAAAGGGATAATAACTAGTATACTTAGAAAAAGACAGCTAGGCTAATTACTCTACCACAAGATGCTCCAAAGGTGCACACCATGTCTGATTTTTTTGGCAACCTTGCCAAAAAAGAATCAATTGTTAGAAAAGTTGCTCTTGAGCCTTCAGGTTTTGCTAGCTTCAACTAAGACTTGGAAGAGGAAATTGACAATACTAATCTAAAAGAAAGGGTCCCCAAGGCACATCATAGATACCTCAACATTTTCAGTAAACAATGATTCCAAAAGCTTCCAGAATATATCTTTTGGGATTATATAATTGATCTAAAACCAACATTTAAACCTCAAATGCCCAAAATTTATGCCTTAAGCCCTAAAAAGCACAACAAGCTTGGCAAATTTATCAAGGAACATCTTTCTTAGAAAACTATTTGTAGGTTCACCTTTTATAGCTAAGCCCTATTTTTCTTTATAAGAAAAAAGAATAGAAAGCTATACCTGATATAGGAATATTGCCACCTCAATAAACACACTATTTGTAATGTATGCCCCTTATTCTTAATCCAAGAATTATTGGACATCATAAAGGGAGCTGTTAAGCCACTAGGCTTATCACATGCACTTGATGCACTAAGAAGGGTTCACACTGGGCTAATTGTGACAACCCAACATATAAAGACTATTGCATGTCTTTGGGCTTGTACTAGGAAGTCTTGATTACTATCAATCCTATTTTCAAAAAGATAAAGAAGGCATTCATTTATAATAGGACAATGTTTGTCACTAATGGGAAGGTCTTCTCTAATATAGCAGATGACTTCTGATAGATTCTAATGGATAACTTGATAGGCAGCAAGTCCTTAGGTATGTTTCAATTGATCTAACAAAGTTCACAATATGTGGGCTAAAAGGAGCTGGATACCTGATGCAGTGTAGAGATCAAGATGTATACAAAGTAAACAAGCTAAGTTTCTTAAAAGCTTATCTCAACTATTTATAGTATAAGATATTTAGGGCCAGATCTGGATCTGGTCCATGCACCTAAGTGGTAAGTATAGTAAATAATTGAGATGCATTATCCTTAATCAGACTTCTAGAAGTCTTGATCATGATCAAGACTCTATGGTTCTTGGCTTTAGCTAAGTATAGTACTATGTCCAATGTCTGTCCACATGAGTAAGTATTTAGAGACCAATTATGATTGACATCAGTAAGCCACATAGGTAGAGAGAGGGGGATAAGTTATAGTATTATAACCATTCATGTATTAGCATATAAATGGTAATTAGTCCAAGTCATGTGCATAGCTCATGACCATGTCCTGAGTCACATGCCTAGATATATATCAAGTCATTATGCTAGTCATTAATGTCTGAGTCCCATGTGAGATGCCTAACCTTTCCTTCTGTCTATATGCAAAGCATGTGTTAGGACATGGTCCTAACAGAAGCCATCACATTTAGCAAATTAGTTATGAGATAAGGATATAACAACATACATATCAAGGAAGGAGATAAATAGAAGGCCTCTTTCATAATACTACTAGAGCTTTTTGAACTTATAGTAATATTTTTCAGCCTCACCAGCTCTTCAGCAACCTTCTAAGCCATAATAGATGTAATCTTCCAAAAACTCATTATTACTCAGAAAATAATGGTACATATGGATGACATCCTTATATTTTCCAAATCTATAGGGGAACATGTTTTGATTCTCAATCAAGTCTTCCAAATTCTGTGTGACAATAACCTATATCTCAAACCTAAAAAATGTGAATTCTACAAGGAAAAGTTGAATTATCTCAGATATATAATATGAAAAGATCACATTACTATAGAAGATTCCAAGATTGACACTATTACAGACTAGCCTATTCCTCACACAGTTTACAATATTTAATCATTCTTAGGGTAGGTCTAGGAAAGTTTTACAAAAGGTTTATTAATAAATTTTCACTTATCACATGATCTCTCTATGATCTTACCAAGAAAGATAAAAAATAGAACTAGACAATGGAATGTTAATAGGCTTTTGACTAGTTAAAGAAATCCTTTACCAGTTAACCCATCCTTATCTACCTGGACCTGATATACTCATACCAGCTAGTAACTGATGTATCTTTCATTATGTATAGTGCTACCCTGTTACAAAAAGAGATAGACAATGATTAGTA